AAAATATAATAGGGAAGAGTGTGGTGATTATAAAAGACTGAGTGAATTTAAAGAAATCTCTGTACAAAAAAACAGAATTAGATGACGTGATCTTTGAGCTCTCAGCCAGCACCGCATCAAAAACAGACATGTGTGCTTTAAGCTAACAAACAAAAACTAGTATCAAGCAGACTTGCTTTACAGAAATCCTCTGTATGTTCTTCATGTTGGCTGAGGTGAGTTTTTCCTTTTGCACATGCAGCAAACGCTGCACCAGGTCCCCGTTTTGGATTTGTATTCTATTTCCATACAAGTAAAGAGATAGCAGCGTGTGTGTGTCTGCGTGCATACATGCATACAGAGGGTCACGTCAACATCTCATTTATGTAATGGCTCCACATTTATCGCACCCTGACATGACTGACAGGTGGAAATGACATCACAAACATTTAAATTGTTGTCCTTCTCTGTGCAGAGTAATACATCCTAAGTGATGCATATTCCACCACCGAGCTGTTTCTACTCTCATCTACTTCATCTTTACTCCACCTTTCTGAAACACACACACACACAAGCACACACACACACACATTTTAATCCCCCCTCTCACTTTCTGTGTTTCATTTTACTGTCCCCACAACCTCACAGTGTCACTGCGCGATCCAATTGGCATAATTGAGCCGGGTCAGATGATGAAGAGACCTATAACAATCAATGCAGGTGAAATAAAAAACAGCTCCCAGTTATTACTTTTGTCCTTTTCCAGCGTCAATCAATCCCCCTCCCCCACACCCAAACAGCCACACACAGAACTATTTAACAGACTGAAACTAGAGCTTTTATAATTGGGGGACAGGTCTGAAAGATTTAAGAGATTTAAGGAGGAGTAGGAATAAGAAGAAAAGGAGGAGAAGAAGAAAAAGGAGGGAGGAGGAGGAGGAGGAGAGGAGTTGGTTCAGCAGTATCATAGCTGAGATAGATGAGATGTGACAGGCTGCCACTCTGCTCAACACCCTCTCATCAGCATGACACAGCTGTCACAGCCCTATTTCAGGAAAATTAAACAGCCTTACGGTAAACTGGCCGGCCTGGAGGGGGAGGGGAGGGGCTGGGGAGCCAGGAGTGTGTGTGTGCGTGTGTGTAAGAGTGTGTTTGTGAAAATGAATAAGCTTGTAGTATGCAGATGGCCTCTCTGTTTCTCTCCTCCCCCAACCTGTTCCCCTCCTTTAAGCACCATCCTCTCCTTTTGACATGGTAATGGCTCCAAATTGATGAAGACACTTCACTCATTCAGTGACAACTCGGCTGGCGGGCGACATAAACACTTCCTCCACCCCTCCGCATCCATCACTCACGAAGCCCCTCCCTCCTGCCGGCTTTGCACGGGCTGGGCGGGACACAGTTTAATCAGCTAATTTGCTCTCCTTTGGTGGCTGTTAATGACCGTGCCACCTCTGGATTATCTTGTCATCCCACCCTCTTAATCAGCGCTGATGAACTGCTCATCAAACTATTAGCCCCCTTTTGCCTTTTGCCATGCTCAGCAAAGGTTAGAGGCCTGTAATTAAAACTAATCTGCTGGGTCACATCGCTCTTTTTAATTGGCTGAATAGAGTCCATTTGAGTAGCATTTCCACAGTGGCTGGAATACCTCCACTCAGACAGATCAGCTACAAAGTGAGAAAATATGGTCAAGTATTACAACTCAGATTACACACAGGCAGCATTTAGAAAAACAAATAAATATAATTAAGTCTGGCCAGGATCTGTGCCATAAATTTCATCGCAGAGAAATATTTTCTCTCTCATTTCATTTGATTTTGCCTTCTCTTTTAAAGCCCCTATAAGGAGTTTTTTCATGTTTAAAAAAATCGACTGAAAGACAAATTAATGCCTCTTCATGACATCCAAAAGCTAACAAGACCATCAGCAGCAGCAAGACTGATGATTTTGTAGCAAGAGGGGGTAGGTGTCAGCCAAGCAGCATCAGAAACGGTTGTGTTTTTAAAATTTACTTGAAAATATTCATAAAAAATGACACATTAAACTTCAGAAAATTCAGAAGAATAAGGTTTTTTTTTAATCGAAGGCCTCTTTGTTCACAGGGGGATACCAAACTTGCCATAAACTTTAAGTTCCATAAGCTTTAACTGTCAAACATAGTGCTCATTGAAAATAACCTGCTTTTTAGGCACTTAATTTATTTGTCAAACACCGACCCAGCCTTGTCACCTAGCAATAGATTGCTTGCTGGCCAGCCAATATAGCTAACAACTTTTGATCACTATCATGACCAAAATCCTGATATTCAGCAGTCTGATGGTCTGCTATCTTGTTTAAATTGGCGCACAAGAGTGACATACAAAAAGTCACATCATTTATTGGGCTGCAAATTATGCACCCAATACATCCTTCATGACTTTTAAATCAGAAAGATGCATTTACTGACCACATTTGGAGAAACCTCCAAAACGGAAAAGCCTTCAGCTCACCTCTGTGGTGACACTGGTCTCCAAATAGGCCTGCAAAGGATGTACAGTAGCTCCTGAGCTGAGACACTAAGGCTCAAGACTGAAGGTCTAGCCTGTTTAAGAAGGTTGAAAAAAAAAAGACATTGATTGCAATCTGCTTTCTAACCAGCTTAGAGCTCTGTAAGGATCTTTAAATTTCATCTTACAGACTCACAGAAATGATTTTTTTCAATCTTTCAACTCTTATCTCGATGTTTTAGCATTCAACCATCACATGGTTTGAAGCACACATACAGTAGGTGGGAGTATTCAGATGAAAATGACAAAGTAAAAGATGATGTGTGCCAAAGTCAAGGTAAAGTTTCACATTAAGAAACACCACAGAGACGCCGGCTCAATGAGGTAAGCTGTCATCTGCATAATATCACTGTTCGACAATAAAAACATCTTTTTTGTGATTGTCCTTGAATAACTCGGTGTTTCCACGATCAGTAAATAAAGTCATTCAGTCGTGGCATGCAGTTAACCAAAGATTTATCTTTTATTTGTGACACAGAAATCTTTGGCTGGATGATTTTTTATTTTTTTTTCACATTTGAGGTAATAAGATCTCCAAAAAATAACCTTATTTATTCTACTTCACCGTGTTATCTTTAAGTGTTTTATTTCCTTTCATTCTTAGTAGTTTATCGTCTATTTATTTCCTCTATTAGGGTTGTTTTAGTTTCCCAGATTAAGTTTTTACATTTTATTCTACCTTTGGTGTTTCCTCTTGAAAACCTTTCCTCTGATAGCACTCTCTCTGTTATTCAGCTAATGTTTTACCAAGTCTTTTGCTCATACTGTGTTCTTCATCTTGTGCATGGATTGCGGGGCAGGAGTGTGTTATTGTACATTTATTTTAACTTATTTGTAATAATTATCACTTTGTGTTACATTTGATTGTAGATCACTACGATTTTCTGTGATCAGAAAGCCTCTGAGCTGAACAAGAACAATAAACCACAACCTCAGAAACAACCTGCAACATTACCATCATAATGAGGCCTTCACTAATACTGATTTGTAGATGTACAGTATTATTTGCATGTGTGATATACACTTCTTGGCAGTACCTGTGTCCAAATGGACTTGAAGCACTTTGTCTAGATCTGTCCTTGTGTTGTTCTTGTTCTTGTTTATATGATGCTTTGGATAACTGCATCTGTTAAATGCCATTATAACATATCTAGACAAATATAATTGCAACTTGCTGTAGTGATCTGCTCTGGCATTACAGTTATATGAATTTGAGGAAGTAAATTCTACATTTCGTCCTGGGCTTCAGCTTCAAGTACAACCTACAAAACAGCGTGGATGATAAAAAAAAAGAGGATTTAAATGTGCTTGGTAATGCCTTTCAAGTCAACTAAAATTCTCAGTTTTAAGCTGAAGATCTGGTCCTGGTAAAATCCACTTTTATGCTACTGTTGAGCGGCCATGCAGCACTACAAGTCCAAGAGTTGTGTTGCCTTTAAAAGAATTCATAACACCTAACCTTTACTGACCTTATACGGCAAATAAAAACCATCGATCCCCCCCCTTCCCAACTCCCACTTTAAAAGACTTATTGTGGAGCTCCATTTCATCTAATCACTTGGCAAAAGAGTGCGGGGTCTAAATAAAGAAAGAATAAATAAAAAAGTCTCCGGGCCAACGTGTTGCTCTCACCTTTGCAGATGAAATTACCCGAAAAGCTGTTACAAATCAATATAATCAATGCAATCAGCTAACTGACACAGGCAATCTCCTGCCAGTAAGTAAAATACCCCCGCCGGAGATCTTTCAATCTCCAGTGCCATAATTGCCCCCAAGGGCGACGTTAGGGTGTAGCATTTTGTACACTTAATTAAATTAGTGAGCTCTGTGGACAGGGTGGGTTACGGTTTTCACGAAGGACGGATAGGTCTGGCCCTGAGCCAGTAATTAAAGCAATACCTTTCCTGATTACGCCAATCCCCCTTAATGAAGTCATTATGCATTTTAACCCAAACACTCCCATGGATTAATGAGCACAAAGAAAGGGCCGGGATGGAAAGACCTCCTCGATCACAAACACAAGTCATAACTCATCCACTCAACTCAGCAGACGTAATGTCCATATTTCTTCCTCTTTCAGACGCAGCTAGGGCTAATTTGGGCTTGAGTGACAGCAAAAGTTCTGGGTCTGGACACATAAAGCTTTAAGGAAACAAGATCCCTCGTCTGCTGAGTAACAACAGAAACTTTACTGGACGACTTTACAAGGTCCCTCTGGAATCGTGTCTGATTCACTCTGGAATGGAAACTTTTGTACGGTTGTTATGCACAGAAACGATCACATGACAACACCCACATGGGTCAGAACATATGTGCAAAATGATTTAAAGAGACCCAGGAACACTATAGGGTGGGAGTAGCTCTACGCTGACCCATAATGCTTTGCTAATTAAATAATTCACTAATTGATTCATCGCCAAATCAATAAAAGCCTGCAGATGGTTTATGATGTGTGTTTGAGTTTGAGGAAAAGGGCTGGATGACGGATGAAACACACACACCGGCACATATATGTCAGTCCACACCGCTGACGTCTCCCCCTAACTGAATGAGAACCAAAGCACATGAAATTGGTGCTAAAATGTGGGCGAGCATTGAGTTGACCTTGCGCTCGTGTTGTATGACATCATTTCAGCCCCTCACAGGCAGATGATGGTGAATATAAAAGGAGAGGGCAGACTGTGACAGTCAAGTGTGTGTGTGTGTGCATATTGTACTGAACCTGTAAACACAGCACCATCCTGAACCCGCTCCCAGGGGAGTCTGGGGTTCTCTGGGTGGGCTCGGCGAGGAAATCAGCTGGGATATCATTAATTCAAGTGTAATGAATCCTTTGAGTGTTTGTGTATAAAAGGGCGTTTGCATTGTAAATACATGGTGGGTTGTGTATACTTTATGACTGGTCATTTGTGTGTGTTTGCGCGCGTGTGGCTACTGAGGTCGGGAATTACCTTTGAAAGTAATTGGGACAGCAGCGAAGTGTGACACCCCACTGATCTGAGAGGACGTATGGGGCTGTAAATTTCTCCACATGAGCAGTTTGATATTTGTTTCCAAGCACAAAGAAATACACACACAAACACAACGAATGGAAACCAGTCTGCAACAATGCCAGGTGAAGGTTGTGTGAGTCTGCCGTGAGAAACAATTCATTCAAGACTGAGTCAGCTTAATTAAAACAGCAGTTTTTCTCATTTACTGCGACACACCTGAGGAAATAAAGGCATTAATTTAAAAGCTTTACAATTAGAGCATTACTAACACAACACCATCCTTAAATTTATGAATTAAACCCCTCTACTAATACTACATGATGGGGTAGACTGATTATTGGCCTTGACCGATACTCATGGGCGATATCTGGTGTTGAATGAGTATCTGTATCGGCTTTTTATTGTAAAAAAGCCCAACAAAATTAATTCATTAAAATATGTGCTACTTCGGCCCTGCAAAAGGACCGTCTTTTCCTCTGGGTCTGTGTTACTCTTTATTTTGGGATTTCTCATCTTCACTATCAACAAGAAACGGTTCCAAATATCGCTTATTGGTCTCATGAACTACCAATCATCCATACTGGTATAAGCCCAGATAAACCTATTTCAGTAGAATCTTACCATATGATATGTACTTGTTAAACTGGAGTTTATGTGTTTTATTCCTTTGATGAAATGAATAGCTTATTCTTTGGAGTAGTGGTCGACTGCTTGTAGTTTTTCAACAGCTAATGCTGATACTGATAATGACAGAGCAGGTCAGCAGGTGGCCGATATCTAATGCAGATACCACATATGACAAAGTTGCCTTACATAATATTAACACAATTGTGGATGAAAACATACAATGAAATAGTCCACGGACAAAAAAAAATAATAATAATAATCCAAGGTAACTATTTTGATTTAAAAATTTAAAAGTCATGTAAAAATCCCTTATTTTGTGAGCATTAAAAAACTTATGGTTTCCTTAGCCAGAAACATGTTTTTAAAAGATGTTTAATAAAGTAAGAAAACATAAAGTGACACTGACTTTGTAAAGGCCGAAGCTGATATGAAGCTGACTACTGAAAAATGCCATAAATCTGCCATGCAATTCATCAGTCTCTCTCTACTTTGGACAATAAACATTTCACAGAAATACCATTGTAGGATATAGTCATATATCCTTAACATTAAAAAAGTAGATTCAAGAGCCTCTCTGTGGGGATTTGCCTCATTAAAACCAATAAAAATCTAGAAACCCATTTAGTTGAACGATAAAACCTGGCAACAGGCTGATCTTCCAGTTTACCCGGCATTTTGATTCGAACCTTCCTCCCTTGACCATGTCACCCCTCAAATCTCATCCAGTTTCCTTCTCTATCCACCACTCTTTCCTCTAAATAGACATAAAAGCCAAAGAATAAACTGAAAATTCTGAAGCAGTCAGGTGATACTGAAGGTGAAAAATCACTGTTCTTCCTCCCAGGCCTCATTTAAAGTTGTATCACTTATTAATGGAGTGATACCATTACTGACTTTAGTAAAGATCCTCCTCTGACACAGCCACACCAGACAATCAGCTTTTCCATTCAAACCGTCTCACTTCAAATGTTTTTAGAGGGGTTTTACCTTTCTGCTTGAACAAACTGCAGGGAATTGATTTATACAATTCTTTATAAAGATAGTTCATAGGATGCCTCTTTATTTTAGAATAATAAAAACTGTATACAGAGTGCTATATATCTGATAGTGATGTATGCTTTACTGTGCAGTGAATGACAGGTGAAATGTACTGTTAACAGATTTTAACACAAGGTCAAATAACTCACTTACTTCATACAAGTTTATTTAATCAGTCGTTTTAATCAAATTCAACAACCTGTGCTGTGTGCCACTATCCTTCTGACATGACTTACTATATCAAAATTCATGTTCATTTAACAAAGGCAAACCAAAAAGGATTAAAAAGGTGATATATTTCAACATAAAGAGAATCACAGTTCAAACAACCAACTGTACAAGTTTACTTCCAAGGAAAATTGCAGCTCTATTAGGTCCAATACCACTGCATTACAAAGTCACAAAAGCAAAAACTTTGATCTAAATGCCCAAAGTATTATTTTATAGCTTAAATGGTACCGTTTAGGGTTGACTGTGTTTGATACTTTGAGATGTGGGTGAACCCTGAGATAACAAAAAGTGTGAGACTACATTGACACTCTACAGCAAACTCAGGATTTAACACGAGTAAATCAGAAATGGTAAATTCTGTTAAAGAACGGATAAAAGAGGAATAAAAGATTAAACTGCATCATCAGGTATGACAATGACTTTAACTTACGATTAAATAAAATAATTTAATTCAGTAAAATCAAGTTTCTGTCAAATGAGTTCTGGTTGATCCCGCGGTTTCGATGTGGAACAGCCAGACCCGACCTCTTCATTTAAGACGTGTTTATGTGAGAGCAGATACTCCTGGCTGTGTTTTACAAAGAGCCCGTTCACTCATGAAGAGCTTTACAGAGTCTTGATCAACAACCACGACCATATATGGAGCAGAAGACTGTGATGGTGGAGCACCTCTGTGTGTTCAAATGCAGCATTGCAAATGAGGTGTGATATAAATAGTGTCTGAGTGTGAAGAACTGCTGCAGGTGCAGTTGCATGTTTAAGATTACAGCGCAGAAGTGCAATTACAAAGAAAATTCAGAAATATACAAGAAAGGCATAAAGGGAGATTAATAACATTGGTAATTCATGGGGAATGTGATCTGATATGTATTAAACTGAGGTCACTTTTAACCGTTGGAAAGTTTGGCAAAGTCTCAAAATTATTCCTATACCTATTAAAGATGCAAAATATTTGTTACGTTAGAAACATACTTACTCCCTTGGGTCAGCTTTGCATTAAGAGCTGCTGGCTTGCTGCACGTTTGACAGAGTTTTTTTCTCATCCTCTTATCTCGTTTTATAATCAATGAATTGAACAGATACATGTTTTAAATGTTGGATTCTCCCTAAAAAGCAACATTTGAACTTAACATGATAATATATTGATCAAATTAAATGTGAGGCCTTGCTTGATTTTTTCCTCAAATCTTATTCACCAAGTTTGCAAGGACTGCACAAGTCTAGTGCGATTGGCAGAGTGGTATAACTGTTTAAAAATGAGACTTTATACAGGTGCCGAATTCCCCAAACTGAGTGGGAGGCTCTAACATTAAGGTCAATGAATAAAAGAGAAGAAATTCAAGATAGAAGAAGAAGAGGAGGTGTCAATGTGTGTTCCAAGGTTCCCAAGACCCCATGTCCAGTGCACCGTGCAAGATCAGACCATGTTGGTTTGGGTGTTAGGACTGCGACTCTGCAGGTCCTGTACCTGGTCAAGAACCCAGTGGATGTTTGGTCTCTCCTGAGGATTCGACACCATTATGGAGCTCAGCAGCATCTGCAAGCCCTCGGAGTAACTGGGTGTGAGAGAAACAGACACTAAGTCAGAACAAGTGTGGTTTGTTGACTCTGTGAGTAAAATGAGAAATGCCTCATAACATTTACTACAAAGTTAAGGACTTATCCTTTCCCTATCCACAATCAAAATGACACATTCTGTTGTTTTCATCCACAGGACACTTTCTTCAAGTTACGCCGTGGCTTATATTACAGTCTGAAAACTGACCTGCATGACCGTGGGATGGCCACTGGATTCTGAACAGCCAGGGCAACACTGTCCCCTTTCTGGAACACCATATCATATGGCCCCTCCAACATCATCATGCAGTAAAGCACACAGCCAAGTGACTATGGGGAGACATCAAGTTAGAGGAGAAAAGGTAGCAAAGATATAGTCACTCAAACACAGCGTGAGTAACATACATCAGTAGAGAAAGATGAAAAAACAAAACAAGGCTTTACCCAAATATCTGTGCGCTCATCTATTATGCAGTGACTCTCCACATTGAAGAGTTCAGGAGCTCTGTAGGAGATGGTGCACCTCTGGCCTGCCCAGTCTTGTATAGTCATGGCTTCTCTGGTTCCTCTAACCTGAAATAAACAAACTGTTAGTAAAAGTTCATTGAAAATATTTTCAAAAATTCCAACAGCACCATGTGGAAGATCATTATAAGGATCAAAGGTTCCATAATTGGTTAAAATTATTTCCCAAATGTGAGAAATGTCCTCCTCGAGATTGGCATTAGTCAATAAAATCACTTAGGCATCTCTTTACTAGAAGCTTAAATTCAAATTGATGACAAATCAATAGAATTATAAGCTGTGTTTTGACAAAATTACAAAGATTAAATATCCTGTGTTCATCAAAAACTTATCTGTTTGACCAACAGTACCATTGCACAGTCAAATATTCTCATTTATTAAAATCTTTCAGGACTCTAAACAGACCAGTACCTCAATCCTGGCACGGTTCATAGAGCCAAGGTCCATCAGAACTGGCCTGTCATCTTCATCTAGAAGCACATTTGTGGGCTTTAGGTCCCTGTCATATTAAAGTAGAAATATAAAGTGCAGAGGTGAGTAGGTGAGTAAGAGCTGAACAGGAATATACAAAAGTTGCTACATAGAAATGACAACAAAGAATTGCAACTGGTATAAAAGCAGTACGCTCATGAATAGACTGGTAACATTACTTATGTAAGAAAGATCCTACAATCAGTAGGTCGTCCTGTGTAAATGTTTGTTTTGAGTATGTGTGCATGTGTATAAGGGGATATGTTACCTGTGCGCGTATCCTTTTTCATGAATGGCCTTGAGTCCAGAGCAGATGCCACGGAAGATTTGCAAAATCTGTTTTTCAGGCATCCAGGCCCCCTTATCCCTTAACTTCTCCAAAACGGACCATAGACTCCCTTTCTGTTGACATTCACACATCAACAAGGTTAATTCAAAATGTAGGAGAATATCCTGGGAAAACTGGCTGCTGAATCAACTTACTCTAATATAAGGCAGAAGTAGCCAGGCTTCACTCTTGCCTCCACGATCAACAAAGGTATGAGCAACCAGGCTCAAGATGTTGGGGTGATTAAACATCTGATGCATCTCCACCTCTGTCTGCGCTTCTTGACGGCCTTCTCGGTCATGGCACAGGATCCTCTTCAGGGCATAAAAGCGCCCATCTTTTGCACCCTCTACCAGATCAACATAACTGAACCCACTGAAAAACACAAGCATATATTAGAGTTCTGCGAGGGTCCATAGGGTAACACTACAAAACAAGATTAACAGTTAAAACCAAAAAGGACCCAGGTTAAAGGGATATTCTGGCATAAAATTAAGTTACTGTAACACCGTATTAGACAGCTGCCTGAGAGATGAATATTGCCGACCACTTGCTTATCTAGTTACACCAACTTTAGTAACAACTATAAGACAGCAATACAGAGAGCCACGCGCTCAACCAAAACGCCACTCTATAGTCACAAATAATGCTCAGAACAGCACCTAACTTCATCAACAGTACATATAGGGTCCCAGCCACAGCACTAGACACCAAACATCTTTTTAGCTTTGCCTAATTTCTTTAGCACAGTGATTAAACACAACTCACCTACTCTCTTCCAGCAGCCGCTTGTTTGTAGCAAGACCTTGGGCCAGTCCATTATGGACTACAGCTGGGTGATGCGGCTCCAGGAAGAACATTTATGATCATCTCTTCACGGAAATGCAATCAGACCGAGACGCCAAGGCAGAAGAACTAGTAATGATCATAAATGTTCTTCCTTAGTAGTTCATAGGGTAGGTGAGTTGTGTTTAGTCTCTTTGCTAAAGAAATCAGGCAAAGCTAAAAAGATGTTTGGTGGCTAGTGCTGTGGCTGGGATCATATATGTACTGTTGATGAAGTTAGGTGCTGTTCTGAGCATTATTTGTGGCTATAGAGTGGTGCTTTGGTTGAGGTTTGTTTATGCCTCCTCAGACTGCTGTGTATTGCTATCGTGCGGTCGTTACTAAAGTTTGTATAACTAGAGAATCAAGCAGTCAGCAACATTCATCTCTGGAGGGGGTGTCTAACTCTGTGTTACAGTGTGTTTTACACTAAATTAATTTTACACCGTCATATCCCTTTAAGTTGTACTTGTTTTCTACGTGTAAGCAGGGCAGTACTTTACATTTCAGATGGAGTGAGACAAACATAATGTGGAAAAACACTAACATTAGGGTTAACTTACCCTTCGTCTAACTTCTGGACAAAGTAATATCTCATGTTGTCGATGGTGATGGAGCCGCGGGAGCAAATGCACAGAGTCTGTCCCATCCTGGCTGGAACATTGTTTGACACCAAGCTTTAAAGGCCTGTGTGAAAAGGAAAAAATAAAGGATATTGTGTGTTTTTAAAGAGTCTTCAAAGCAATCGTTAGCCTAGTATTTCATTGGTCTAACGTGGAGAAGATCTGATGAGGTAATAAACAAACCCCAGACAAACAATTACAGCAGATCACCGACGTCAACTTCCTGAAATACAGCCCAAAATACGTCTCTGACGTGGATTTCCTACTTCAACCCTCAAGTGTGTGTCACATTATGTCATACATAACAGTAAACAGCAAAAAATAGAACTCAGAAGTAACCCTAGGCGCCTTAAAGTTTCAAATCTTACCTGTTTCGGTTGTGTTTATCAAGTTAGCTTCCAGTCATGTTAGCTTTTTTCCTGCTGCCTCTTTTTCGTGATCCGTAATGGCGGTCGGTTTTCAGTGTTGATTGCGCATTACTGCCACCCTCTGGCCTAGTAATGATGCCTTCCCCATTATGATATGAAACATACGGTTTAATATCAAATCAAACCTTCTTGAGGCCCAATTTTAGCTTTAAATGTGAAACGCTTAGTTTGCTACTCAATAGTTCTTTTTGATCTTCTTCTAGTTCTCCTTCTCCTTCTCCTCCTCCCCCTCCTTTTTCCTTCTTCTTCTCTCTTTTCTAGTCCTAACGAAGCGTTGTTCGGACACAGCGCTAGAAGACACCTAGCGGCCTGATAAGTAGTTGCAAGTTTTGAGAAGCGTAATGATGGCGGATAAGAAGCATCACAGAAGATATTTCACCGAAGACGGAGGTGATATTTGTGCTTTTTTGACATTTAAATAATGTTTCAGATATATGTGCAGAAGTTAGCTTCAGGTTGAAGTGTAGCCTTGCTGTTAAGAATGGTCTCAACTGCCGTATGGTGTTCATTAACAGGGGGCGTTTTCGAAACCCCCTTCAAGCTAACAGTGTTAGCTTACATGTGCTTTAATGTGTGTATAAAGTAAATTTAACAATAAACTCAGACTCTTTCTATAGTACTCAAAAGTTAATGTGATCTCTGAACTGAAGGTAGGCTAGTGTATGTCCCTAAATTGACTTTAGCTACTTTAGGTAATTTGATGGCTAGAGTCGTAACATTAGCCCCACAGGTAATGCTGGCAGGTATTTATTTCTCTCTAGTTCCCACCAAACTGTTGTTCACCGTGTTGAGTTGTCTTGCCTCAAGCAGGGCCGCAAGAGGAGGAAGGCAGAGTGAAAACTAAGCCTGTCTCTTGTAGTACTGCGGGAGGAGAGGGGACCGCAGTCAAACGTACATCCCAGCATCTCACATCTGAAGACGAGGACGAGTCCTCAGCAGACCCTCCAGCCCCCAGCAAAATCTCCAAGATAGGCTTTAGCATGGGCAGTCAGACGGGAAAGAACCCCATTTCTATCAAACTTGGAGCAACAGTAAGTTTGGAGTTGATTTGACATAGGGGAGAGTGAGGTAAGATGAGCCATTTTTCATATTTCGGATCACTTCATCAAGACAATCATACTTTTGTCTCTAACTAGTGTATCTGCATATATTTCAGGATGTTGTGCATCCCTGCAAACCAACAGAATGAGTGTAAACATAACTGTCTTGATAATATAGCATGCCAAAAAAAGTGGTCTCCTATGGTCAACTTACCCCGTGCATGGGGTAAGTTAACCATAGGAGCGGGGTTAGTAGAGCCGTATCCCAAATACCCCGACCCCAGCCCTCCTTCACCTTCTCTCCCTAAATAACAGTCACAACAACAGGGGGTAGCTCAACTTACCCTTTGGCTCAGCTTACCTCACTCTCCCCTATTGTTATGACTTGTGACTAACAGTGAAAACTACAGCTAAATATTAGATGTCCAAGTGTGTGATTCACGTTAACACCTGTAACTCTTCAAAATACTGCCAGAAAGTTCAGGGACTTTACAAGTGAATGGTTCTAACTATTCATTATTTTCTGTAGACACAAATTAAAAAATGTAAAGGTGCTCAGTTGTTTAATCTTTAATCCTCTCCATATCTTCTGCTACCATCCGGCACTAGAAACCTAAAGAGCCTGTCCCAGTGCTTCCACAAAAAAAGGCAGGACTGGCCTCAGTTTTCAATGAGGATGATGATGTAAGTGCACATGACAGCTGTGATTAAAAAGTTTACCAAACCCATGACCAGCAAATTTACAGAAGCTGAGTTTACCTTGTCTCTTGTCTCACAGAGTGAACCTGAAGAGATGCCTCCTGAGGCAAAGATGAGGATGAAGAACATTGGGAGGTACACACACAATACGCATTCATTGTTTTCCAAAAAGTCAGCTATTAAACAAAAGATTTCCTGCCAATTATACAATCTACCATGTCAACGTCTGTATGTAAGTTAATTCATCTTTTGTTTTTCAGGGAGACTCCAACATCTGCAGGACCAAATTCTTTCAACAAGGGCAAGCAGGGCTTCTCTGATCATCAAAAACTCTGGGAGAGGAAATTGAAGGCCCAGGCTGACAAATTATAGATTTAAAACAGTCGTTTTCACTAATGGAAGGTTTTTTTTCCATAGAGTTCAAACTTCGTAAGAGATATCTCTGAAGGCTGAATTATTTTTCACTGTAGCTTTGGTGCTGAAGATGCAATGCAAATTACTTTAGGCCTTCAGTGATACTCGGTGGTTGAACTGAAGTTAATGTTCCTAACCACTACAGGCTGATGAAGACTAAGGAGCAGTCAGGAGCTGGGACAAACAAGAACTAATAAGGATAGTCAGAATATTGTTAAAGCTGTTCAATTCGCTACAGTTGCCTCAAACTGGCTTAAGGGGAAATCTAACATCTCAGAAGCTTCATCTCCTTTTTTTAGACATGCTTGTCAGAAGCTAGGTGCGGGCCAGAGCAAGCTGTCTTTGTCGATCGTATGTTATTAGTGTAAAAATGTACAAAGTGTCTGATTTTTAAAGCAAGAAATGGGGAGTGGTTGAGTGTAATGACACTGAGCGCTTGTGTGTGTATGTGTATGTGGCATAGATGATGCAGCTTTTTTTTTTCAAACTGTTTCTCCACATCAGTGTACAATCTTTTTTTTCACCTGCTTTGCCCCATCATAGGCAGACTCATCCGACTTTTTAATGTCTTTTATTATTTGTTTAAGTATCTCTGGTTTTCTATACTCAAAACCATATTTGTCAGCATATCTGGCAAACCATCAGGTCGTTTTATTTTATTAACAGTGGAAGGACGCATTATCTATCTAGATATTAAATACTATTATCAAATATTAAAAGACCACAGCCGTGACAGTGATTCATCTTGGTAAAAGTCCGATGAAATGGTTTCTCGTTGGAATCTTTTGCTTTTATTTTTCCATTAAAACGTCCCGATCATTTAGGTTCAGCTAATGTGCTACCATGGTGGTTGTTTGGGTAATTTGCCTGGATGAAAAAAAACTGAATCTTTAAAATTTGTCTGTTAGTAACCCAGCTGTTGTGTTGACTCCTTGAAATAAGTTACACTCATATCCACTTCTTCAAGCTGTTAAATCAAACAGATCTCTTACACAAATAAAAAAAACAGTCAGAAATAAACAAATAGATGATATATGGTGTCTGTTGTCGTCTGTAACAAAAAAACATAAAAAACGTGTGGTAAGTGTAACTAACTCCAAATGTTACAAACTTCCTCCATCTACTGCTCATTAATTATACTAATTAATCATCTCTTAAATGTCTATTTTCTCTCAGCTTTGGGTAAACTTCAGAAAAGTCAATGGCGCGTATACGTGATTTAAACCTCTGACTTCCATAACTTTACACATTTCTAAATGTCAAAAACAAAATTGATTCTCTCCCTCACTACATGTGACGTAATGCTTTGGAAATAATGCTTTTATTCACAGTTAGATTCTCTTAACAGCCCTGACAGTGACTCACTCTCTCCCTCAAACATCCACCTGCACATTTAAAACCGTATCTGTACCATCATAATGAAATATCTTTGACATTTGATTTTTCACCCTCGTCTCACACTTGCCTACAGACAGTTTCAGTCAAAGCTGCCAAGTAAAAAATCCTGCACATCAAGTCAGAAAACCTGTACTCATCGGTGCAGATCCTTTTTATGATTGGGCATGGCCTTCAACAAAGACTCCCAGAAGTTCCTCCTGGTTCTGAAAGGTTTGCCTGAGGTCCAGTCCAGACTGGGAAGCACCTTTAAAGCCCTCTGGACCAGGACCGGCAGACGGGGATCTGGTTTCAAGCGTGAAGCTGACTCTCCATTGGTCCATAGTAGAAGGAGTTTTGGGCTTGAATTTTGAAGCAAAGCCTAAAGATAGAAGAAGTAGTTCAGCACTGATGTTTTTGTTTGGAGTGAAACCCCTGAAGAGTCTACTAAAATAAAAATCATTTAAAAGGCATCATCAAAGACTTACTAAACCACTTAACAGAACATGCAACTTGTCATGACTCAAACCAAACCGGTCTTTCAGTTCACATTTGATTTTCTTTCCATTGTGGTTTCTGTTTATGACAGATAAGAGAAGAAATGAAACCACAGTGGCTGTGCTTGAACTGCATTTCTTATCTATTTCGCAGGAGAACACATTACATGCAGTTATGCTTTACTCTAACTTTCTTAGTCATACTAGAAACAAGAGTGCAAGTGCACCCAGTATACTTTGTGGGTCTTCAGTATAAAATCATCAGTCAGTATAGATAGAGTACTTGCTGGTGCTTGAATGAAAACTGAAAGAAACTATTGGTTCACCAAAAGAATAAGTGAGTCAAAACAGAAAGCTATATTCATTTCTAATGAAACAAATCTGAAATTTGAAAGAGTTCTTTATCACTGCTGGTACTATCAGTCTGAGATGTTAAGGAGCTTTAACCCAGTATCAGATCTGATTATATTTCACTTTGACATTTTCCATTAAAACACACACCCAGTTTTACTGGCTTTAAATCACTTACTGGTTTCATCTCTTGTTTAAATTTAACATCTATACTTTTCCTGCTTAGGAGAATGAACATCTGATGTTTAAAAACCTCTAAAAGAACACAGTATTCTTTTACAGGAGGTCTTGAGGAGAGTTTAAGTTAGTTATACTGAGCAATTAGTTGCAAGCTGTATGGTTCCAGGTTTCATAATTCATTAACAAGTCAAACACTTTTAATTTTGATAAGTAAAGGTATGACATTAATGCAGCATTAGTTTTCTCCTGTCCCTGAAGTGTACAACTACCCAGGAGGGAGATGTATAGTGAGGAAAAATTAAGGCAAAGCTCAAGGCCTGTGACTGACGGGAGTCAAAAAACCCACACTTAAAGGGATATTCTGGCATAAAATTGAGTTAGGGTCAAACACACCAGAACACCAAGTTATACACCCCCTCGAGAGATGAATGTTGACGACCGCTTGCTTCTCTAGTTATACCAACTTTAGTAACAACTGCAGGACAGCAGTACACAGCGGTCTGAGGAACCATAAACAAACTTCAACCAAAACACCACTCTATAGCCACAAATAATGCTCAGAACAGCACCTAACTTCGTCAACAGTATATATAGGGTCCCAGCCATAGTACTAGCCACCAAACATCTTTTTAGCTTTGCCTAATTTCTTTAGCAAAGAGACTAAACACAACTCACCTACTCTCTTCCAGCAGCTGCTTGTTTGAGACCTCCGGGTGACTCCATCAACTGCAGCAGGGGGACGCAGCTCAAGGAAGAACATTTATGATCATTTCTTCATGGAAATGCAATCAGACCGAGATGCTAAGGCAGAAGAACCACCGTGTCTTCAGGGCAAAATGATTAATATGATGATTATTTCTTCAAAGAAATGATAAAGAAATTATCATAAATGTTCTTCCTTGAGCTGCGTCCCCCTGCTGCAGTCGATGGAGTCACCAGGAGGTCTCAAACAAGCAGCTGCTGGAAGAGAGTGGGTGAGTTGTGTTTAGTCTCTTTGCTAAAGAAATCAGGCAAAGCTAAAAAGATGTTTGGTGGCTAGTTCTGTGGTTGGGACCCTATATATACTGTTGATGAAGTTAGGTGCTGTTCTGAGCATTATTTGTGGCTATAGAGTGGCTTTTGGCTGAGCATGTGGCTCTCTGTACTGCTAACTGCGGTCGTTACTAAAGTTGGTTTAACTAGAGAGGCAAGCATTCGGCAATGTTTATCTCTTGACGGGGTGTCTAACTCAGTGTTACGGTGTGTTTGACCCTAAGTTAATTTTACGCTGGAATATCCCTTTTAGGTAATGAGGTGTGAGGTGTTAGGGCTTAATATGATATTTATTCATGGGGCTCAAAATCCCTGGCAGTGCCCATAAACCCACCTGGACTCCTGATTCAAGCACAAACACAGCACTGTTGTTGGAGAGGTAGTCAGCTGACAAGAGGCAGATCAGCATTTGGCTCCTCTGTATTGCATGGACCACATCATTTGTATAAGCTGCAACATAAATCACAAACCATCATAAATACTTGCACACAGTAAATGCACACACACACACTTGCAGTTGATCCTCTCACCTCCTCCAGGTAAAACATCCCTCTCCAGAAGGCATAGCCGATACCCCCACAGGTCCTCTAACACCCGGGGTAACAGCACCTCCAGTGGTTTCTGAGTGACTTCACCCTCATCCGAGCTCAGCGGATCTGTGGGGGATAAATATTCTGCAAATAAAGTTACTTTGGTTAAAGTTTACCAGAGTAATCCGGCACACATTGATATCATGCATTCAGTGTGCTTGCCTACCTTCCACATCTGTGTCAGGTCCTGTTTGGTAAAAGGCTGAAACTTCTGCAGCCTCTACTGGCAGGCCACTCCACACAAACGACAGAAAAACATCAAAATCTTTTTCATCTAATGGGTGGAGGTGTAAGAAACAAAACCTAAACATTAGAAATGTGGCGTGAAGGAGTCAAGGTTGGTTTATGATAAGATTTACACATTGGTATTTGTAGTAGTAAGTGACATTTTGTAGAGTTCAAAACAGATTAAATCTACACATTTTACCCTGAAAGCAAAGCAACATCCTGTGATAAGAATCAGCAGTTGTAGCCAGGATGCCACATGCACAGTACCTTTGGGTGTTTCTGTTTCTGTATTTTGTGTGATTATATGTGAGTGTGTGGATGTGTCTGTCTGTCTGTTTTCGTACCTCCATCATGTTTTCCTTGCTGGAGGTAGGATTTGTAGATAAGCTGTAGCTCCAGCCATTTCACATGCAGACAGATTCCAACCCCGGCTACAAGCAACAACAATACAATGGGATACCCAACCACTGAGGGCCATTTCACTGAAACACAGACATGGAAATACTCTTATTGGCTTGTAAAAACATGAATTTAAGTCGAGGACTGTCAGTCATTTTGCTTCGTATTCTTCCTCCCGTTCCTTAGATTTAACAGAGAGGTCTACTGAATCATTTCATTTTGATTTTTCATAGAGATCATTATGTAGTTTTTGAATAACAGTCAAAGCTGAAACAAATCACCTCTGTATTTCTCCTTCAGCTTGATAGTGACACTGCTGTTTCCAACAATATTGGTGGCGATGCAGGTGTACGTGTTGTTGAAATGCTCTGACGTGACCTCTTTAATGACAGATATTTGTGAGACTGTGATGTCTTGAAAACGCGGGTCCTGTCTGAATCACAAGAGAATTTCAGCTCATAAGCTCTCATGTACTCCAAGAAACATGCATACTGCAGATGCAAAATGAAAGACATCCTGGCAAAAGCAAACTCTGGTTGAAAAACTCACATTGTCTTCTCGATGTGTAGCACAGTCGTAGTCGTCGTGTTACCACCGTAGTGCATTAACCATCGCACATCTGGGGAAAACTTTTTCTCAAAAGGAAAATTTACCGTACATATCAGAGAGTGTGATAGACCTAAAAAAGGGACCAAACAAAGACTTTATCACCTCACCCATATTTCAGTGCCTTCAATGCCAATATTTTCATACACACACACACTTGCACCTGTAACCATGCACCTGTATAAACTATTGTTGGTGTTATTAATGTCTGTCTTTCTGCATCTCTCTCTCTCTCTCTCTGAACCCAATGCAGACTCAGTAGATGACTGTCTAACAAGAGTTGGGTTCTGCCCATAGACTGTATCTAGAATGGACAGCGTCTGCCTCCTCGCTGGGTGAAGCCACCCCGAGATATATGGGTCATATATCCTGCCTCCTTATGGAGCTGTGGACAAACTTTAAAAATTTATTACACAGAATATGAATTTTCCTTCCCTACTGCTTGTGATGTTGACATGTAGTTACTGTCAGACTGGTTTGTGCTCAAATCCTCTTTTTTCTGTACAACTCCATTTTTAAAAGTTATTAAGGAGTTCATGTTTTCTATGATTGACATTTGATGCAGCCTACGGGCGGACGAAGATTGCATAGCTCACCCGGGGGATATGCTGTTTGAGCTGAGCGTCATCACAGTGACTCTCTCCTGCCGAATGCACACAATGCTACTGCGCAATGATGGTTTCAGGAAATGGAGAGAAAATGTGAAATTACAGAGAGCTTTTTGGCTTCAAATCCATATACTGGCCGAGGGCGGAACCAAGTTGTCCATAGTATATACAGTCTATGGTTCTGCCCATTAAAAGGAAGTTCTTCCTCTCCACTGTAACTTGCTAAATGCTGCAGTGTTTCAATCATGCAAGTGGGTCAGATCCTACAAGATGAGGCTCAATCTTATCCCATTCTTTTGTTCGGTTTTTGTGAATACCATGAAGAGTGGGGTCTACATCAGCTCTGTTTGTTAAGCATATTGAGATAACATTTGTTGTGAATTGGCGTTATATAAATAAGACTGATTATACCAACTTGTAAAAATTCATAAGCATAGCCAAACAATGAGTTATTAACTGTGATAGCTGCAGAGATATATCATAGATCAGAATGATACATTTACCAAGCACTGCTGCCTTTGTCATGTTGCTGTCAGGATCCAAGATGTCAGGAGGGCGATTTGGAGCGAGATGAGCTGTTATGGCACAGAGAGAAAAGTAGCACAGGTCTGCATTTCAATTTCTTTAGTTTACCATATGAGGCAGCCAGACGTTAGAAAATTCACCTCAGAAAAAAAATTCAATGTCTTTTGCTTTTGATTATTCAGAAGTGAAGATTGAAAATGTAACCAGAAACAATTAAGAGTCTGACTGGGACTTCAGGAGCAGCATATACCTGGACTACCATGTGATCAACTTACCTTAAACTAGCATGAAGGTTTAAGGTACACACAGACACAGAACTTACGTACAGCTGTGATGTTAACAGCCCTCCTGAAAGTCCATTTGAATCCTCCTTCAATAACTTGTCTGTCACAGAAATAAACACCGGTATGAGAGTCCCTGACTCCACTGATATATAACTCTCCGTTTTCCTGACTGGAGGCCTTCGGCTGCTCAGACTTGGCTCTCTTACCCTGTAAGAAACCACAGATATCTTTATAGTCCGGTTTATGTTTTATGATTTTTATGAAGGTAAAGCCTGTTCATGTTTGTAAAGTACCTCACCATGAACCACCTAACATCTGAGTTGTCACTGCAGTTAAGTCCTGGGCAAGGGATCTTTACACCGAGTCCAACAATCAGATCGACACTGCTCTCCTCATCACTGAAGCATGCCAAACTCTTCCTCTTCACCACCTGCAGATGTAGGAACAGTTTGCTGCCACTAGACAGCATAGATCTTTACATTGCTAACAAAATTGCTTCAAAATGTACCTTTAAATACACTTTTTAAATATGTAATCGCAGCCACATACTGTAAGATGATTGTCAAAGATAAAACTTAAAATAGATGTTTCAAGTAAATTGGTTATTGCTAAATCAGTGTGATTTTTTTTAATCATCCAGTGGGCTATTGACAAAAAATGTTTCTACACATGTGGGAAAGAAGGAGTAAAATTGACAAACTATAATTTTAAATGTCTTGTGCAACATTTTAAAAAGCAATTCCATTCTGCAATTTTTCTATCAGTGTTTTAAAATTTATTCTTTAAATGATTTATTCATGTATTTAAACAAGCCAGTATTCACATGGTGGTAACTTTTCTCTGACTTCAGGAAGGCTGTGAAGCTACATTTACGGATATGCTGTCATGCTGTCATCTATGACATTTTAAGATCACATTTTCTCCCAAGCTTAACATTATCATAAAACAGAATCAAACCACTTCTTACTCAAAATACTGTTTCAAAGTGTGATATTATCCCATTAAAGGGCATAACTTAGCTAGCAGCATTGTCACCTACTAAGGTACATTTTTATTCCACAAAGTAGTCGAATCCTCAAACCAGCTGCTCAATATAATCTTCTCTTGCATGAGATCATAATGTGTATCTTTTTAGGTTAAGATACGGTTATTTTTTCTCATATTTACATTCACTGATCAACAAAGGTGTGGTTGAATTGTTTGCTGGGTTCCCTATATACCACAGTAACCTGAAGAATAGAATTTTGTCCCACACATTATCACAAAGGAGACTGTTACCTATATTAAATATGGAGCAAGCAATATTACAGTGTTGTGTTGCTTATGCGACTGATTTTGAAGCCATGACCCATATTTGCTCAGAGGTTAAAATAGTTAAATTTGCCTCAAGAATTCAGTCAGAAATGGAGATAATGATAGAAGTACGACTCAGTTTGTTCACCTTTCACAGCAGGTGTATCTTCCAGAATATTTTGCTTCCACCAGGAACTCCGTCCCACAGGCGAAGGATGGGCTTCCTTTTTCTGCTCTTCCTTCCCCAATCCTGGACCACACCACCTCCGTATGCTGATTTACTTCTTTTGGGCAAGGCATCATAAAGATTTCCCCCTCCACAGCTTTGTAGCCCTGATGTGTGGTATTCTGTTGGAGACCTTAAAACAGCCGATGGTTTCAATAACTGGTGCACTGAAATATTTCTGTTTCATTTTGAAATATCAGGGGTGCTGCTTGTTTAATGCGTGCTTCCTTTTTAAAGCACAATATTTATGCTGCAACATTTACGTATGATTTGATTAAAATGAAATACCTGATCTGCTGTTTTGTTGGTTTCCCACACAGCATGCCTCCAAGGAAAGGGAAAAGCTTAGAAAGAGTAGAAAATATCCGGTCTGCATCCTGTATCTTGACACCAGTAGAACACTTTATCACAATGCTGAAAAATTGTCTCTTCCTGACTTCTTTGGTATTTTGCTGTTACACATAAATGTGTAACCACATCTGGAGTTCTTGGTATTTTCATATTAACGTTAATGTTTCCATCTCGTCTTTGAGGCTGCGTAGCTTGAGGTGTGAAGTCTTGGTAGGACATTCTGATGCTGCATGTGGTATTTTCTGGTTTCCTGTCATGTTATGCGTGTTCCTGATTTCAATGATACCTGCAGTAAAAGATCTACTATGTTGCTGAAAGCTGTTAGCCACTTCCTATGTGAAGAGCAGAAAAGTGCCTCTCTTATGTAAAATTTTACTGTTGTGAAGAAAGAAAAGAACGAAAACACAACATGTGGGATAGAAATCATAAGAAAAATATAAAACTAAGAGGACGGCCACAAACAGAAACAGCAGAAGTGAATTATACCCGAAGAAACAAGCATCTACGAGATGTTTTTGTTGTAGATCTAATAAAATTAAAGACTCAATAATATAGGGAGAAACAAATGAAGAGACTTTAGAGACAAAATGCAACTTACTCTGATAATGGCTACTGTAAATAGATTTAACTCGACTAACATGTACGTAGCTTTCTACTTAAGAATTTTACCAAATATATTTAACAGTCAATGAATCACTATCAGTGTTTGCTGTGAAAAAAAAACACTTCTGAAAACTTTTTTAAAGGAGCTTTTTAAAGGTTATGAAACCAATTGAAAAGAAGAGTGGTGCATCTCTATGATGTACAAAAGCAAATGAGACTGTCAATAACACGACAACAATTTCTATATCCTGACTTTTAACACCTGTAACTGCTCTGAGAGGGTAGGTACAAATACAAAGTAGTATTTCTTACCTTCCCCAAAACAAATATTCACAGTGAGTAAAGAATTTAACAAACAACAACAACACTAAATAACTGGGAGAGTTTTTTGTCAATTAATACTGCTTTTACAAGGACAGGAGATTACCAAGGATCTCCAGAAGGATTACCGCTTTATCCACAGGGGGCGCAAGAATCAGCATGAACAGAAAGTTGCTAACAGGAGCTTTAAGCATGCCGTCAAATTTTTGGTCTGACACCTTGTACCCACAGTAGTTAGAAGCATATAAAATTGAAGATATTAGAATTGTCAATCTTGTCCCCGATGATCTTGTTTGCTTTTGTAAAAATAATCACTTTTATTTATTTTTTTATTAGTAGCTAAAATTTACTAACCAGAAACCAGAGCCAAGGTCTCTCACAATTAGTAATCTGTTGTATTCTATATTTATTTACATTCAGTCTGCTGGACATGAAGCATACAGCTGAAGCTGGATTACACTCGACTTTTTACTGGGAGCTGCAGGCACAACAGTATACTATTTGTGCCTCATTGTGCCAAAGATTAAAAAGGTCAAAGAGACTGAAAAGACTTTTCAACAAATAACCTTCAAGGACGCTTTGAGTGTATTCGAAAACCCTGATCAATGCAGACATGGAAAAAATACAATTTATTTCAAGTACAAAAAGTTCCAACATCTGCCTAAAGGCATCACATTATATTATACTTATTATTATACAAAAACAATGAGAATACTTTTGACAAAGGTAAAGACAGCATGAAATTACAGTTTAGATAGTAATGTAGGTAAAACAAAACTGAAGCTTTACAACACATGGTTCTTGTTGGATGCTAAGTCAGATACTGAATTCAGTTAAAGTAACTCTGAAGATATAACCTAAACTCTCTGGGAAATTGGGCTTATTTTACGAGTATGTTTCAGGGCAGGAAGGTGATACCGTAGCTGCTTCCAGAAGAACGAGGAGAGCGACATGGAGCGTTTGCCTCTCCAGGTGACATAGTCTCCTGCATCACTGAGAAACTGCAAGGCCTCCGATACTGAACCTGACTTCAACTCTTCTTTTGACTCAGTTGTGATAAAAACCAAACGAGTCTCTCTTTCGACAAGGGCTGAATGGATGACACTCAGAAGACCAGATTCAAGACCAGGATCTGCAGAGGTGGGAACCAGAACCACTGTTCGGCTCTGCATTATACAGTCCAACACTGCATCTGCTACAGCTGAAATGACCAGATTTCAGATTATACATTCGCTTATTAAGTTTATAAAGCAGGTTTAAGTGTATCTCAAACACATACCTTTACCAGGTGGGACATCACGATCATACAGACAGAGACTATAACCAAATTTCTCCTCCAAAACCTTTTCCAGCAGGTCTCTGTCCTCTTCATTTAGTCCTGCATCTGTGTTGTTCTTGTAACACATCAAAAAGGCATCATAGCTCTTTCCATCTAAACAAACATAATAAAGCAGAACAAAAAGGTTTTTCACAGACTTTCAAAAAGCACAAATGTGGATCTGTTTAAGGGAAAGTGGAAAACACGTGTTGTATCCATGAATAGTACAAACACAAATGAGCTTCTTCACAGCAAAGTTGAACTATGAAAAACTCAAAATTGAATGTACAAGAACATCAACATTGTTTAGGGAGGAGTTTCTTCAAAATTGCTAATCTACATGGCACAGTTGACCCCTGTCTTGACAAAGGTGACAAGCTGGTACCTTAAATATCCCTAACACATACACCAACAACAGTCCTCCGAGCAGAATTTGTTGGAAAAATAAAACACATACCTGAGGCGTTTCTATGGCAGCCAAGAGTGTCCCGTAGAAGAAGAGTGATGTTAATTTTGAACTTTACATAGATGACTGTCATCAAAACCATCGCCATCACAGTGCAGACAATGCCAGCAGCCAGGGAAGCATAGGAGGGACGGGCTATAAGGACAGATCGAAAGAAAAAACAGCAGTTTTAAAACATTTTAACTGTCTGTAAATGAATTTATAAATGAATTTATAAATGACTAATATGGTGGATGGCAGAGGTAGAGCAACTGAACATACATCAGAAAACATCCATCCACTGCATCTACCTTTTTGGGCCAAGGTGATGGTGACAAAAGTCGAGGGTCGGTCCTCAGAGTCCAGTTTACATGTGTAGTTCTTAGATAAAAGCTCCTTTGTCACTTTTTTAATGATAAGTGAATTTATTATGATTTTTCGCTCACGATTAGTTTCGCTGAAAAGGAATAGAAAAATATTGTTGCACATGTTGACTGTTTTTTTATAACACTGAATCTATAATATAACATAAGTCCAAGCCCCAGAATAAATGGAAAACAGCTTCAGGAAACAAACAACTGTGTGGACTGTTTTACCTTGTTATGTTGGAGAAAAAAGGCAAACTTTTGTCCTCGTCTACAAATGAATCACCACTCAACCAAAACAGAGAATCATGGTCTGAAAATGTCGCTGCTTTACAGGGTATTACCACTGATGAGCCTAGAAAAGGGAGTTTCATATAAAATTTTAAAGTAAACTTTCAAAAAGGTTGTCAACATTTAAAAAAGTGCAAAGAGAAACTGAACAGGCTTGAACAGGCTCACCCAAATCGACATGAACTACATCACCATCGTTGGGTAAAATGATCACTGCAGATTTCTCCGACTTGTCTATTTAAAAAAAAAAAAGAGAGAAAGTTAGAAATTACTTTTGGAAAAAGAAAACATCTGTAACGATTAAATTGTCAGAGTTTTTTTTCCTTACTGTTTGGTCGGACATCAAGGACCGCCTTAAAGGTCATGTTATATGTTTGATCAAGATACAGGTAAGACCTAGTACAGATGTAGACACCATGGTGATTCTCCTCCACACTTAAGTAAGTAATGGAGTCCTCATGATTCAGCATTGACTCTCCTTCCTACATGATAGAAAAAATAAAGCTGAAGTAATTACAGTAGATATGTGATAATATTTCATGGAGAATCACTCGCCCACACATCTGTATTTTTCAGATAATTCAATCACATTCTGACACTTTCTTTTAATACCTTTTGCCATATGACGCCATTGCTGGTGATATTTGGTGTAGCCACATCAGGGGTATTAGCATCAGGACAATACAACGTGCAGGACTCCGGAATGTAACATGTTGTAGGGTATGTGGGCTTCTCTTCATACTCTCTGCTCTGCGTTGTGTAAACCCTCAGCCTGAACCAGGTCTGGCTCATAGAAGTCCTGTTATGCCTTAAAAGAAAAACATGAAGGATATTTTTGTATCAACTGAATGAGAACCAATGACTGTTTGAAAATACTTATTTACACCAGTATTTTTGTGGATCACCATTTTGGGGTCGTCAGTCTTGCATTGTGGCATCTTTGTTTTTGTGCAAAAGTAAGACTATTTACGATAAAATAAAATAAAAAATGGATAAACATGTATTGAAACACCTCTATCCTAACTGAAATAATAGCTTGTACTGGTTACAGATATAGTATAACCAAAAGCTAACCTTGGGTCATTTTCTATGTATTCAAAAATGAACATAATTTAATATTGAAAGTTGGTAAATTTGAGATTAAAACCTAAAGTGATTTGTTTACTGAGCTGCTCAAATAGACTTCTTCTCAATCAATCTCCATTCTTTAAAGCTCCTGTGAGGAACATCTGATTTTTTGTCAACTAGGGCGGCGCCTGTGGTCAATGCAGTCTTTAGTTAACTTGTCCGTCACATGCTTGAGTAGTGTCCTTTGACAAAAATCTTGTCCTGCTGACCTTTGACAGTCAAAGTATTATTGATTATGAATATCTTATGTGAAAAGTGTAAAAACAGTGACTTTTTTTAGCTGCTCAGCTAACATCTACCCCTCCTGTACCTGTTTCCAGTAATAAAAATGACAATATACAAATTATCAACCTTGACACCATTAGTCTTGTTTGTTTTTGATTAACATGAAAAGGCATCAATATAAATTTTAGTCTATTTCATAATATCAAAAAACTCTTTCCAGTAGCTTTAATCCACGCAGTCACCAATAACAAGGTTGCAGGTTTTAGGTAACTCAGATGGACTACTGCCTAAACCTAAACTCTCCACTCTCAAACTTCGAGGCCTGTTCCTGTTTAGTTTGTGAATTCCCAGCACCGTCCCCTTTCAAAACATTCAGTGTGTGAGAGCTGTCATACAATTAACATGAATACTGAATGCAGTTAGAGAGTTCAAAATGCACATAAATCTTATATTTTTGTCAAATTTTTACACTCTTGCAAAGAACTGCCTGTACCTCAGAGAGCATGAGTAATTCCCCTGATGGCTCACATTCGCGCTGAGTATAACCAGACTCCTTCCATAGAGCAGCACACCTGCCTGCCTCTGCTCTGCCGAGGACATGTCGCTGCTCAGTTCCCTCTCCTTCGTGTTGGGACTGGTCCAGATCACTTTGGCACCACTTTGATTTTCTGCTCCATTACACTGCAGCGCCACCATCTCATTTGCCTCCACACTTATGTTTTTGGGTCCCAAGGAACACACACCTGCAAATAAGTTTTAGTTTTAAGTTTATGTTAGGTTGTAAAACATGATTAATTTTGGGATAGCCACTGCTCTGTGACTGAACTGCCACCTGTCTATTATTATTTCTCACAGAAATGTTCAACTCTTTCAATAAATCTTGCAAAATCAAATTATCAAATGTCCTCCTATGTATGAGCAAACAATATAAAACGGCTGTTGTCCATTACACTTTTACTATGAATTAGCTGGATGTATTAATCTGTTGGACTACAAGATCATATTCAAAATCTTTATATTTGGTAACACTTTACAATAACAATGATTTATAAATGGTAAATAAATAGTTTATTAATGTTTAATCAACATTTAAAAACAGCATATAGACCAATTATAAATGGCAAATAGATCGTTTATTTATGTAAGTTAACAGTTACTTTACCATTAACAAGAAATTAAATTATGATGAATAATTTCATTAATTATTAATGGACTATTTACTAAAAGTTTATATAGGGTCTAAATATTGGTTGTATAACATCTAGATTAAAATGTGTGTCAGTAGCACTTTGTAAATGGTTAATATTTGGTTTTTAAACCACCTATAAACATTATTTAGGTGGTTATTGTAAAGTTAGGGTTGGGGTTAGGTTTTTAAAATTATGAAATTTACAATTTATTAACTGTCTATATGCTGTTTATAAATGATGATTAAACATTAATAAACTATCTACTAACCATTTATAAATGGTTGTTTTACCATTCATAGGTTATGGTTATTGTGAAGTGTTACGCTATATTTATCTTGAATCTCGACGGCTCTAACATCTAGATGTGTTTGTGAACTGACTTGTTGCTGAACTGACCACATCCTGATTTTTGGGTGTGAATAAGTCTTATGATTTCAGTTGAAAGGAAACTAAGTCAGATGTCAGCAATGATGTTAGGAATAGCCATCTCTTTTAGAGAAGTAGACAAATACTAACTAATGTTTTGTATTTTGTAATTGTGAAATGCTAGCAAGGGTAATTATTGCATGAGATTTATGGTCAAATCTGCACAGCACAAGACAGTAAACAGCTGCAAACAGGATCTAGATGGATGGAACGATCAGAAGCAGCTTTTTCTTGGTTATGCTTAGATTCTCTGAGTACAGTTTTGGAGTACTTGTAGAACCATGAGTGGAGTCTTCACTGTCTTATAGTTCTTCACCATTTGGGAGCAAATTCATATCAATTCAGTTTTAAACTGTAGGAAGGTGGTATTACGATAAAGACAAAATGAACTACACTGCATTGAAGATCACTGCTGATAAAAACTAACACTATGGGACAACAAAATGAGGAGTTTTACTGTGGTGTGATGGAACCATTTTGAAGCATCACTTTTTTTTCTCATGAGAGAGAAAGTTTCTGCTCTGTGATTTGCTGTCACAGAGAAATCTGACCTGGTTTCCACAAACTTCTAGAGCAAAATATTGAGTAACATGCATTTCATAGACGTAAATCCCAACTTAAAATTGTCATAGCAGCACATTGTCTTTATATTATGGGATGTTTGCCTGTGCTACTCCTTTGCTTTAGCACAGGTTGATTATATTAGATAGAATTTAACTGATCTCTCTGGTAAGGTTTCCAAATGACATTTTATGTTTTTATGATGCAATAAAATACATGACATATCAACTTGCACTTTCACAATTGAACTCAGATTGAATTCCCTTACCTGCCAATGAGGCGAGGAGTAGACACAGGGGGACCAGGAGCACTTTCACCTGCATCATAACCGGTAAAAGTGAGAGCCAAACCAGCAGAAGCGTCGCCAGAAACGTGATCTGAGCAAATAATGCTACAAAAGAAGTTCGAGCGAAATAAAAGTGAACGTTTCCCCAAACGAGGCGGCGTGCTGATGTAAACTGAAACTTAAGGAAGAAGGTCACGTTGGTAGTGCAATGAAAACACCCACCAATTAGGGGTATGTTGTTCATTTTGTACAGGTGATACCAAACATTGATTCGAGGACATGTAAAGGCGTTTTTCCTCTATGAAAGATGATTGAAATCATAAGCTTAGACTCGCAGAGTTTGGTGTTACACGCGGCGCAATCGATGCGCTACTGCTCTTTGGCACAGACAGGGAAGTAACTCTTGTACCAGTGAAAGAAAAAATACAGTTCAAGCTTGCCAGAAGGGAATAATAATACAATGGTCACTGATGCTTTTTCCATGTGACAAGAACAAATGCTACATAACCATTTTCCCCCCACCAGATCAGACCACAGTCAGCATGTGAATCCAACAGTTAACTTTGCTCGGAAAAATCAGAATATCCCCGGAACCACAACAGAAACCATGAGACTGTTTCCACACTGGAATTAAATACCACGACCTTTCGGGCCAAAGAGGAGTTTCACGGGGTTATTTTCCGCTCATTCACTCCTTCACTGACTTATCTGTTCGCCTTGTTTGTAACGAAAAAGACTTCACTGAATACATCTGTAGGATTATCACATTAATCTGCAGTTTTCTTTGGCTGTGGTGTGATGGAGGAGCCATGAAACAGAAGAGTCTGATAATTCAAAAGACCAAACCAGCTTTAAAAGACCATGAACGGCGGTCAATCATTTACAAAATGGCCTTATCAAGTGTCAAAACTTGTGTTCTTAATGCATGTGCATGCTGACAAACAGATGTGTCTACCACAGAGGAAGAAATGTGAGTGATTTTTTTTATTTTGCTGTTTCCAAATAACTTAGATATACAGGTGCAAGTCCAAGAAATCTAAACCAGGTTCTCTAATGGCAGCAATAATAAACTGGCTATAATTAGAAATGAATGTTACTGCATTCTCAGGGATTACACATCTTTACAGTAGCTACTATTTCCAGCCCAGGGTATTTTTTATGATGCTGACAAACCATCACCAAAAAAGGAAGAAATGTAGTATTTCTGTCAGAGGAGACTTCTGACAACATTGTTTTATAAATAGGACTCTTAAAAAAATCTCAACACATTTTTTTTTTTAATTTGTTGCACGTGACGTAAGCTTTAATACGTTCAACTGTCAGTGACCTTAGGTGTGCATCGTTTCCGTGCTCAGTGTTAGCCTTAGTGTAACTTGTGGAAACCATACTCAAAGGCGCCACTAGGTGGCAGAAAACCATTAAATACATAACATTGTTAAAACACCAAAAGTGAATCAAAAATGCAACCCTTCCACAAGACAAATATAAAATAAAGATTTTAAACATTAGAAACATTATACATAAAAGTTTAAGAATACACAAATGATAGAAAAGTACATTTTTAAACTTAAATGAGGGGGGTATAGCACTGTTTTTTAAGGTATGGTTAAGTGAAGTTGGTAAAATTGGATTTAGTTCTTTTTCCAAGATTTTATACCATTCAAGAGGGAAGCTTTGCTACCAGGTGCCATACTGGGTTTTAGTTTCTTAATCGTGTTTTCCATTCCCCTTTAGTTATCTCAGAACAAAAAAAATTTAGTATTAGTTGTGGGTTCTCTAATTTTATGGATTGCATTAAATTGTTGTTTCTTTCTGAGCCGTCTGGCAAGTGATTTTGTAGCATTTGGGCCCCTCTCATAGTAGTTTTGTTTTAAGTACATTTTTAAAATAAATATGTTTTAGAGCATCATGAGTGTGAAAATAGTCCCTCATAAAAGAGTTGATGAGGGTCTTAAGAAGTGACATGGGGTCAATTGAAAAACCCATAAAATAAAAGTTAAGCGATTATCATCTGGGGAAGCTGTTTACAGTAAGAGCTATTATTTTGGTTCATGTTGTGGAGCAGAAAGATAATTGGACAGCTGCTTCGTGAAGGAGGATGAGGGCCTCATGGAGTGTTCACCTTTCCAGGTGACACAGAGTTCAGCCTTACCAAGAAGCTGTGAGGCCTCTGGTACTGAACCTGACCCTAGCACTTCATCAGACTCCGTTTTGATGAAAACCAAACGAGTCTGCCGCTCCACAAGAGATGCATGGATTTCTTTCAGTAGGTCAGGTTCGAGACCAGGATCTGCAGAGGTGGGAACCAACACCACTGTCCAACTCTGTGCAGCGCAGTCCAACACTGCCTCTGCTACATCTGGAAGGAGACAGGATGATAAGTTAAACTTATTTTGTGGAAAACGTCATTACAGATATGAAATTACTGATATTTAATACATTTTTTATCAATACATTTGAAATTGTTTATACCTCAACCCTAATAGCTTACCTCTTCTTGGAAGGAGATTATGCTCATGAGGACAGAGACTGTAACCAAGTTTATCTTCCAAAACACTCTCCAGCCAGCGTTTGTCTTCTTCATTTAGCCCTACATCTGTGTCGCTCTTGTAATACATCAAAAAGGCATCATGGCTCTTTCCATCTGAGAAAAAAACAAATGAAAGTGGCTCTATAACTCTGCTCTTAGCACACACTCAAGCAGAGATCACACTGCTTACACCACACAGCCCATGGGAAAAATATATTTGTATTTCATTCACGTGATGAAATAAGTAGCCGAAGCTTGATTCCCACCTGGGATGCTGCGGTAGCAACAACAGGTGTCTTGCAGGACAAAGGCAATGTCCATTTTGAACGTCACACAAGCAACAGCTGTTACAAAAACTATCACCCCCATCATGGCCACAATGCCAATGGACAAGGGGAGGGACAAAGGAGAGGCTGTAGGGACAGAAAGGACACTTTACCCTAAAAAATAAAAAATCTGTAGCTAAAGAAGTAGACGGATGATATTCGCTGTGATTTTGATGCAGGGAACAGGGATGCGCTCCACAGGAAAAACTGTGTACTTTTCAACATTTGAAAGTATACAAACAGCTCATTAATGGAAAGATTTGTTAGTGTTGAATGAGATATTTGTTAGTGAAAGCCATCTGGTTTCCACTTGTTGTTGGGGTAGTGTTAAAGGTGCAGCACAGTGTGATAGAAGCTAAGCTGCTACTAAACGATTATAGTGATTTTAGTGACTGCAAGTCATAGGATAGCTTAAAATAGTGAAACCACAATTTTATCCGTCCAATCCTCCCATTCACCTTTTTGGTCCAAGGAGATGGTGACAAAGCTTGATGGTTGATCCTCAGACTCCAGTTTACATGTGTAACTTTTGGAAAGATCTTCCTTCAACACTTTTCTAAAAACTAAAGATGCAGTCATCTTCACTCCATCAGCGGTGTTTTCTCTGTTAAGACAAGGTCAGGCATTAAAGGGTATTTAAAGATCGAGATTGGTTGCTCTTTTATCTAATTGGTATGAACAAGCTGGTAAGTTCATGTGAAGTTTTTACCTGGTATAGTTGTAGAAAACGGGTAAACTGTTGTTCTTTTCCAGGAATGATGTTCCACTCAACCAAAACAGGTCATCAAACTCAGAATATACAGCAGCTGTACAGTTAATCACCACAGTTGTATCTAAACAAAAGCATACATTTTATAAATGACTTTTCTGAATGTATTTCCAAGTGTATTTTTGTAAATGTATAAAAAACAGTACCACAAAAACTTACCCAAAGCTACGTGAAATACTTCATCCTTCTGAGGCAAAAGAATCTCTGACTTCCCAGATATTACTGTGCAAAAAAACCCCAAGAAATAACAGTTCAAAAAACAACATATAACAGTTCAAAAACATATTCAAGTCCTCAGAAGGAATCAAATGAAAAAAAAAGTGATTTCTTACTGTTTGGTCTGACATCAAGGACCACTGTAAAAGTCATGTTGTAAATGTGATCATGGTAGAGGTAAGATCTGGTGCAGGTGTAGATACCATGGTCATGCTCCTCTACACTTGGAAAGGAAACATTGTTCACCAATAGTTTGCCTTCCTGTGAAATAGAAAAACAAAACAAATTTAAAAATGTTAAGGCAAGATTTAAGCTCAAAATCCAGAGGGGAAACATGTCTGTATTGGAGTATTAAAACAGTTATGATGTAAAAAAAAAAACATACAAGCAGAATTAATCTTTAAGATTTGACTAATCCACTCTAAAAGTCTATGTTGAAATACCTTTTGCCATATGATGCCATTGCTGGTAATATTTGGTGTGGCCACATCAGGGGTATTAACATCAGGGCAATACAACGTGCAGGACTCTTGAGTGTAACATGTTGTAGAGAATGTGGTCTTTCTTTCATACTCCCTGCTCTGCATGGGATAAACCATCAGCTTGAACCAGGTCTGGCTCCTGGGAGTCCTGTCATGTCATAAAAAATGTGAAGAAGAGTTTTAATACAGACTTTCATAATGATTCCTTACTATCAAATTTTAGAGATGAGAAGATTTTAAGGCCCAGTCTTAAAAAAAAAACTCTTTTTACAGCAAGCCATTCAAGTTGATTTGTCATTTGACTGAAGAGGAATGCTGTTAATCATTTTGGGTGTGTTTATACTTTACCCATGTGAGCATGAATAATTCCCCTGACGGTTTGCAGAGACACTAAGTATCACAAGGCTCCTTCCATGAACCAGCACCCCCATCTGCCTCTGCTGAGCCGATGACATGTTGCTGTTAAGATCCAGCGCCTGTCCAGTGTGACTGGTCCAGGTCAGTTCAGCATCATGACCTCTGTAATAAGGGCACTTCAGCGCCACCATCTCACCCTCCTTGACGTATACATTTCTGACCCTCCATGGAAAGACAACTATGGAAAAGAATCACAAAGTTGTAAAATTTAGTATTGAAAATGTACCACATACAAAACTTTAAAAAAACTGAATAAAGCTTGTTGAGTTGGCTGAGTCAGACTAGTCACTTCAAGTCTTCAGGCTCAAGCTATCCAATATTGAATTATATAGACATGAAAGATTGAAAATCTGTTTGCATTGGTTTTGGCACCCCCTGTGGCCAAAATAAGACCTTTGATCTTTTTGCTTATCCTGTGAATCCTGCTTCTGATAACTAATCCCATCCTGCTGTTATTTCACAGACAAAGAAATAATCTACCATAAATGTTTACTGTGTAAAACAAACACGGTTGCTGTTTTGGGAGATTGGTGTTAATTACCCCCTGGAGTTTGAGATCAGTGTCAAAATATATCACACAGGAATTATCAACCTGCTCACTGATGGTCTTGTTTGAATTCATTGGTCACATAGAGGCATTTTTATTCATTTCAGTCTGTTTCATCAGAAACTCAGACACTGACATCATCACAGACAACTCCATGAGGTGAAACAGTGACTGTTTCCCAGTGGTCTGGTCTTGTGATCACCTCACAAGGAACTTTTGTCAGTTTCTATGGAAGGTACTATTGTTCAAGCTGTTGGTCAAGTGTCATAAGATGTTACACAATCCAGAGTTTTGGATAGTGTGTATATCAGGTTAAATAATAAAGAATAACAATACCATTGACAGTTACTTTGGAACCAGAATTTCTAAAGTTTTCACTTAACATTACTTTGCCAATTACATTTTCCCTTTTGGCTCAAGTAATAAGTCAAAATGCAAATTATTCCCTGTAAATGAATAATTAATCTATCTCTTTTTTCTGAGGCAGTGTTTTGTGACAGGCAGCTTTGCTTTTCCAGACCTTTTAATTCCCTCATAACTCTGACAACACTGGAGCAAGTAGTCAGTAATAAGTATTAAGTTGTTGATACTGATGCAGCATAGTGTAATAAGTCTTTCACTTTTATTTTCCTTGTGAATTTCCTTTTTTCCCATTATCTTAGTTCTCTGTCAGGTGATCCATTTCCAATCTAAAAGATTGGACATCCAGTGCCTCTTTGGTAAAATTTCATAGAAATCTGACACTTGACAAAGGACCCTGATTAGTTGAGAACTTGTCTACAGTGATAGTTGATCAATGTTTTACAAAATGATATTTGTTTTTTACATAAACATTAATATAAAGAGTAAGTAGTGTTAAATAACTGCTGTGTGGAGAAAAGGTTGAATAGTTAGAGTAAGAGTTAGAAATAAACAAACTAACAATGAGAAAAACAACATCAAACTTGTCAGTGAAGTACTTAAAGATTTCTTTCTCTCTTTCTTTCTTCTTTATCTCGAACTTTAAGAACAACAACAAAAAAAAAACAACTAGAAACAAAACAAAATAATACATATGTACACCAAACAAAAGTCACAACATAAATATGTCAAAATAAACAGTTTGAGAAGGAGCAGAATGAAGCAAAAAGCTTATCTAGTCCTGCCCCTTCTTTGCAAATTAGAGATTTAAAAAAAATCGATTTGTATAAAATACAAAGATCTGTATAAATACCTACATATTATACACAAAGATATCTGCTCAACACTCAATAGGTTACTTATTATAATTACATGCATATTATAATAATAATCAGTGTTATAATATTCAGAATTAATATTACTTTTATGCAATCAAGTATATCTAGTATAAAACTATATTTTTTGTTAGTTTACTTATATGAATCTTTTAATACTTCTCTATAGTTTGGTTTAAATATTTTTATGTTAAAGTGACATCCAGGCTGTTCCAGAGTTTAACACCACAACCAGAAATGCACATACTTTTCAGAGTTGTATGGACAATTGGACAAATAAATTTATGTTCCCCTCTTAGATTATAGCCCCCCTTTCTGGTTTTGAACATCTTTCTTAGGTTACCAGGTAACTTACTGTGTGTTGCTTTGTACAGCACTTGAGCTATTTTAAAATTGACTGTCATTCAATTTTAACAATTTTGATTTTAGGAACAAGAGGGCTGGTGTGATCTCTGTATCCAGTGTGATTATATACCTGTGTTATCATATTGTACTGTGATATTTTTGTCAAAATGTAAAGGCGCTATTGAATATAAACACTGATTTAATATTGATACCTAACAGATGTATTTTTAAAAATCACATACCTGTCTTGTCATTTAAAATATATATATATATACATATACATTATATTGAAGTTTTCATTCTCTTACCTGTCAATAAAGTAGAGAGAACAAGTAGGAGTATTTTCCAGGCCATCATGTCAAGACTTCTTCCCGCAATGTCCTGGAATGAGTGATCTGCCCAAACATTGAACAGCAGGTTTAGCTGAGTCACAGCACGTCACTGAGCGAAAGTGAAAATTCTGTCTGTGTGTATCTTTCTTGGTCAAACTCACAGACTGTGGTCAAACTATACAAGCAGACGCTCACAAACAAACAAACAAACAAACGGCAAAGATAAACATTACATACCAAAGGCCCATGAATGCAAAAAACAGTTCATACAAACTGAGACTCTAACACTTGACTCCACACGACAACATTAATATTGTTTATAGTTTCTCAAGAACTTTACTGTGTATCTCTATGGGATAAAAAGTGTTCAAAATCTTACCCTTTCAGCGATCTATCGGGGGTTTCCAGACATTTCTACACCTCCTACAAGGTTTACAATCCAGCCACAAAATTAGGTGTTTGATCAAAGACGTTTGATGGTAAATCCGCAGTGATATACCGGTGAAAACATGATTATTTATCATATTGTTGTGATTAAAAAAAGATCGCTGTCGCTATCTCTAAATGCTATCTCTACTGTCTTCCGGGTTTGACGAGCTGTTTTGATGACGTCTTTTTTTTTTTTTTTTTCTGTCAAACTTTTAACCAATTACATAGGCTCATATTCTTCTTCTATTGTTCCCTTGAGGGTAGTAGTTGCTTGTCTGCTAAATAAGACATAATGGTCCTCAATGCTTGGAAACAAGTAAAGAAGAGATTATGAGCCGTATGATTTTTTTTTTTTTTCAATAAAACTTTAGTGAGCGTTTAACAGAACCAGACAATTCAACACACAAGCTAGAAGGAGTTTTTTGCCAAGGGGCCACACATATAGGAAAACATGAAAGAGACTACATAAATGTATGGTCTTGATAGCTTGGTTAATATATAATATACAGCTTGGCTTCATTTTTGAAAAAATAAAGCAAGGATTTTTATTTATATATCTACATTTATGGATATGCCACTTAGCCAACAAAATAATAAGGTTAATTATAATAATGTTTGTTTTTGGAGGGTCTAAAGGAAGTGAAACCAAACAGTAAATTTTCAAAACAAAGAGTGAAATTATTCTCAATAGAAGTAGAAATAAAATGACAAACATCTTTCCAGATATTATTGGGCAAGACCAAAATAAGTGAACGGTATCTTCAGGGCGCTGCGAACAGAAAGAGCCGTTCATGTCAATATGACTCTTGAAACACTGTAAGAAAAATATTTTACAAGGATAGGTTTTATGAATAAATTTAAAAGATACTTCTTCAATGTTGTTGTTAATCATATACTTGGTTGGTAAGATTCAGATTTTTTTCCAGTCAAGATTCGGTAATAAGTTATTCCAATAAGTACTTATATGAGGAAGAGACACAAAGTCCCTTTGAAACAAAGTACACACAGCACGATTGCTGCTACGTGTCGTAGAGAAACAAATCCTGCCGACTTCAAGCTTAAGTGGATCCAGAGGCAAGAGAGCTAGTTTCTCCACTGTGCTTCTAAATAGTAAAGAGACACCAGAAGGAACTGCATTAATGATATGTTAAATTCTACAGTAGGAATTGAAATGTTGTGTTTTGAAGTAAAACCTTCATAAGTAAGTAATAAACCGTTGGAATCAAACAGCTGGTGAACCAGGAGTATATTATGAGAAAACCAGGCAGGGTAAAATAAGGATTTGTTTCTGTGTGTTATGTCTTTATTATTCAATATATAATATCTGTGTGGAGAGAAGTTGTGTTTATATATTAGTGACCATGAAAGAAGCATCTGTTTGTGGAAATTTGATAGTTTAAATGGGATTTTTTTCAATTTTGTAATTGCACAGTTAAAGAAAATATAGGCCACCTACTTCAGAAAAAACAAAGTTTGGTATAAAGTTCCAAATTGAGGAAGAGTTTATGAGCAGTTTGATGTGGCCCTCTGTCTCATCCCAGACAGGAACTGCTTCAAGGAGTGGCATAAACAACTGTAAATAGCAAAAAAAAAAAAAAACGCCTGGAAGAATTAGTGTAAATATTTGAATAGTGTCTGTGGTGTGTTTGTTCCAATCCCAATATTTCTACTCCTGATAGCCAAGACTTAACAGAATGACGTGCACAGGGCTCTCAAGTTTTAAACTAAGCTTAGAGTGAGGTTTTTTTTTTCCTTGGGGGTGGTAAGTGAGTGATAATTATTAGTGTAATAATCTAATAAATACAATGGAGTATGAGGGCCACATTAAGAGAGAAAAAAACATTTTTAAATCTTTGAGATTAAAGTTATTATTTAGGAAAATAAAGTCATTAATGACTTTAAGAATAAAGTAGTAAAGTTACCTGTTGTGGAGGAGGGTTGTTAAAATCAGCACTGTGGAGTATTTAGATGAATTGTACTTCAGGATAGGTTCCACAAACATGGAGATACTTAATCTTTTGGTACATGAGCATTACACTGTCATGAGTATCAGAACTTTAAAAAGAATATATGAGAAATGCTGCTTTTGTGGCGGGGGAAATGGCTGGAAATGGCTGTACAGAGGCTAAATTTATCAATGCAGCTGTTAATAGCAATAGATTAGGGCTTTAGTTTATCATATGAGTCTATATGCTATGAGGTGTTAAGGTCTCTGCATGTGTAGGTTTGCGTGTGTCACATGCCGAATGCGTGAGACTTGAGAGCCCTGGATGGGCAGGTGAGAAAAGGCTGTAGATTTATGTGGTTTTTTTAGCAAAGTACTGTTGGGATCAATTTCCGTTGTTGTTTTTTGGTTGAGTTTTATGCTTCTCAATCTACTGTCACATTCATTTTACATATTTTTATAGCTGAAGTTGTCCTGAAAAAAAACCAAAAAACAAAAAAAAAACCAAGTGTATATATTTGCTGTGCTTGAAAGGATAGAGTTGCTACATAGATTTTTACAAGAAAAAAAAAACTCTTTACAGCATTTCTCTTTTTTACAACATGTGTTAAAGTAATATCTCCCATAAACTTGAACCATTTGGATGAAAATATGTGGCAAATCTGCTCAGAAGCACACCTTTCTTTCTTTGTTGTGGTTTAGGGTCACACGCAGAGACAGAGGCAATTCCCGGATTGGCGCGTGCACTGCAGGGGTGTATTGCTAGGGGCAACGGCGCCTGTCAAACGCTCTTCTTGATGTGTGGCAGCTGCAGCCTGGGAGAAAAGGCGAAAAGAAGTCAACTGAAGAAGATAGTTTCGAGCTTTTCCGTGAGAAGATATCGGACAGAGGGATGACGGACATACTTCGGCTGGTTTCGAAGGCGAATAGACGAAGTTTGCCCACTCTGGCTCAACTCTCTGAAAACGGTCTGCTAAGTTTTTTTTTGACGAGTGACTGTATGGTAACTAACGTTCAACACAATGACGGTGAAGTGCGCATGCGTGCCAAATGTATGCCTTGTATAATGATATAGGGCTACTGTTTATTTTTTCAGATATCAACTGTATTTGGGCTGATGTGTCTGCTTATATTGAGCGTCAGCTGACATTACAGAAGGTTCGACCATTTATCTATCTATCTATCTATCTATCTATCTATCTATCTATCTATCTATCTATCTATCTATCTATCTATCTATCTATCTATCTATCTATCTAATCCGTTTGTCTGATCTATAGGGGGTTCACCTGGCAGGACTGGGCACCTTCACCTTCTCTCAGCAGAGGTTGGACATTGGGAACAGGTTCATAGTGGTCCAAAGACCTGTCTTTCTCCTGGCTGGTAAACTACTGCTGTCTCTAGGTTTAAAGCAGGTCAGACCACTGGCAGCAGGTGAGAATGTATAAATAAATGAATAAAAAAATAAAACATAAATATAAGTTTTATTAAAAGAGTAATATTATATCATACAGTATCTGACACCATGAGACTGTACAATTTGTGAACAATTGTTGCTAAAAGTGGAGCTGTAAGAATGTCTTAATGTCTTAGATGTTGACATAATGGCCCTTTACTATAATCCTTACTTGAGTAAAGATTGATATGATCAACATGTATGAAAATTTCTGCCAATTGGTACTGCCAATATGGTTTTACATTTACGATGATTGCTATGACAGCTTATACAAGCCAACAACAAGCTTCAACAAGCTGCTTGTGCAGAAGTATTTTGAAGTGTTATAAACAGACAGATACATACAGTAGCTGTTTGAAATGCTTGTGAAGCATGTCATGGGAGCTGGAAGAAAACAACACAGTTAAATTTTGAATCTCAGAAACTGTCAGCCTGAACAGAACCTAAAGAATATATGTGTAATTTATGGTAGGTTGTATTGTTGTTTCTTCTGTTTCATCACTATTTCTAAAGCAAATAGACAGTCACAAACTGGGTCATATGTTTTTCTCATGTCAGAGACAATCTAGCACATCAGTATTAGTTCTATATCCCATTATACACTCTATTGCTGTGAAATAAAAACATCATATGGTTAGTTTTACCCAGTTTCTGCAGTCTTAAGTGAACAAACTGATGTTTCGTGTGGGTTTTTGTTGCAGCAACACACCTTCCTATAGTGCAGCTGAACTTTGCAGCAGTGTCACAGGAGACTCCCTTCAGTCGAGACGTGGTTGAGGGCTGCATCAGAGAAACTCTTCTGCTCCTCTACAAAGCTCTGAACTCTGAGCAAAACATCTTCCTCACCTTACAGGGCATTGGGGTTTTGTCCTTTAAGAACAACAAGGTGGCTCTCCTGCTCATATTGCGATTCACATTGCTTTGGAATATGTGGTCAGCTTGTTTCTAATCAAATCTCACTTGATGTCATTAAAAGGTGCGGATGAAGTTTAACAGAGATTTTATTAATGCTATGGATGGGACTGGAAGGCTACTGTCAGCCTTCAACAATGTAAGTACAGTAGAAACAAGTCAAGGTGCTTTTGAATGTCACAGTAAACAACTAGTCTTCAGTAAATACATGCACACAAATAAATGATAGTCTACTTATTACCGGTGTTTCTGCAGAGACCTGGGAGCAGCGTGTCTTTACTTTCTGGTGGACTGTCCAGGCTTCAGCAGCAGCAGCAGACCGCCAGCCCCATCACCCTGCCAAGCGTCCGCTCTCCTCATCCACACAACAAAGCTAGTGACAAAGATGCATCGTGCATGTCACCGGCAACAGACCAGAGGAATGCAGGAGGTGAAAGAGCTTTTTTGCACAATGCTGACAATTTGGCGTTTGATAGCCCTTTAATGAGGCAAAATTGAGAGTTGAATTGAATCCAAGTCTCTTTCAAAACGCTGACGCAAAGCAGAGGACTTTTGTTTCTCGCTGTTTGGCAGAAATGGCGCAGCAGTCTTGGCAAAAGCTGAACTGATCATGTTATGGCACAAATCATGTAAATTCTCAAATGATGGGCATGGTGTACAAACTGCTGTAGCTGCCTAATCAACAGTAATGTAGGAGTAAGTAAAATAGGCCTTGTTTGTTTTCTTGCTCATACGTTGTGAAAGTAAAGGTTCAGCGTGTTGTACCTTATTTGCTCAGTTTGTACTTTTGGGAAAAGTTACGCTGAACTTTTTCCCAATGAGGTCACAGCCTTCCCGTAGTTTGAGCTGGTCACATCTCAACCTGGCCAATGGTAATGCCATGTCTTGAGAAGGGGATTTTTTTTGTATTCGTTGGCTACTATTTCTGGTATGAATGCTGAGAAAACAGTTTCTTTGCTGTTGGGTTACTGTTTAACACTGCCCAAGGTCGAGGTGGAGTACAGATTGTCATGCAATGAAAAAAACCCTCAGCTTTTACTTTCAATTCGCACAACACCATGGTTAAGATTAGAACTCTTTTTTGTATAATAGGTGGTTCCAGGCACTTGGAACTAGCTATTAAAATACATTTGGTGATGTGTTAATGAGGGTAAGATGCAGTAAAGTACCAAGCAATGAAAGCATAATGACAGAGAGAGTGTTATGTGTCTCTGCAGAAATTCCCCAGCAGAGAGAATCTAAATCCCATCAGCCACTGCAGTCCGCCAAGATGAAAGCTGTCAGCCTTCCTGAGGAAGAGAATCCAAAACCCCCAACAGAGACCGCAGACAAGTACCACACACTTAGAGACACAGAAGCACACTCACTCTTTGGAAAGGCTCAGATTTCAGGGCACAGAGCTACGGTTTACAGGTGGATTAGTCTCCGAGAGCTGAGAGCTCAGCGGGGGTCTTATATTGTTACTGCCCTGAGGCAGCGTCCAGCTCCATCAATGATGCACAACCACCTGTGGGACAGATTCTTTTTCTGTCATCACCCCCAATGCATTGTTAGCAAATACACACACGAATACACACCTGTAATCTGGATGAATAGTTAAGATAGAGGGTCAGAGTGTGACCACAAAAGGGGGACCTGTCCTTTTTCAAATCTTCAAATCATCCTTTTTTCTTTTTTTTACGTTTGTTTTTCTTAAAAATCCACTAAGACTTTCTGTGCGCCCTTGTGTTGCACTTTTTGGAGTGAAAGGGGCTGTGACTGCTTTTAATAGTATCCTAACAAAATTAGGGGCCCTAAGATTGTGTTACTATGACAAAATTAGGGCCTCTAATTTTATTTTGATATCCCCAGAAGCAGCAAACTTACAGACATGCCTAGGCTGCAGTTTCTTTTTAAAATGAAAAATTCTGCATCTTCAAATAACTTTAAGCCCTGTAAATGTAAATAAACGTTTCTAGAAATTCCCACTTCCTCCTGCTTATATACAAGGACATCTCTTTTAAGCAGACAGTAATGAAGACTCTGCCTCTGCTCACAGGCCCACTGCTTTCATCTCACCACTAGAGGTCCCCCCGAAACTGGAGGAACAGTCTGTAAACATCAGCTGTTCTGGCCACACCCGGGCAGGACAGGTGAGAGTGTGGATAAATACTGTTTGTGTGAAGTTGGTGTAAGAGTATAGAGTACAGCTGATTTTTAAAGTTGACTTTCAAATACAATATAAGTATTTGGGAGGTGAGGTTTTATTGGCATCACTCTGGTTGTAGTATAACTCAGGATATATGTACCCGAGTACTTACCCAGTGTGAGGTCAAACAATCATACGGAACAAGAAGGTGAGAAATGGCAACAATTAGGGTTAAAATTATATCAAAATCATTTAGGACATCTAGCCTGACAATGAAAGACAGGTGCAAACCTACATTGTTTTTGTGAGAAGTTAAGGTGTCTGTCAAGGAAGCTGGGAGGATGTTTCTTAGCTGATTATAAAATGACTTAGAAAATTATCATTTTGTAACTATTACTCATATCTACTTTTATTATTTCCTTGGCTAATTTAGGAGCTGTGCTATCTGTGCATGCAGCGAGCGAAGAGGAATGTCCCAGTGTACCTGAGGATACAACAGGAGGCCGAGGAGAAAGCTCAGGAGAAACTCTTACTGCTTCAAGAACAACTGAGAGATAAACAGATCATGGAGGAAGAACAGGTGTGTGTGCAAATGTCCAAACAAGTGGATTGTGAAAATGTTCATAGAATATTCATTTGTGTATTTTATTTCTGCAACTATTAATCTTTTTCAGAGTGTTTAATAAAATAGGTGTTAAAAGGTAAAAGATGAATTCTCAGGAGGAGGGGCTTATGTAAAGAAACAAGAGGATCAGAGCAGAAGTTCACACAGGCTGAGGAAGTGGAAACTTAGTGGTCCACACACCCAGCAGCAGGAGTAAAATAAAACTCAAAGTATTTTGTCAAGACAAAAGAAAAGCTGCAATAAAACCTTGTGAAATGTTAATATAAAAGATTTTACAACTGAGAAATCAAGGGTGGATCCAGAGTGTTTGGGGTCAGAGAGTTCAGAAAACAGCTTCACCCTCTTCACTGCAGCACATGTGGGTTATTAACTTTCAGAGCTGAACCACTTTGAGTTTACCCTGGCATGTTGTTTTTGCCAATTTTGGTTCTGTCTGAAACTCGGTTATTTGAAAAGTTAATGTCCTTTATGTAAAGTCATGCTCTTGAGGTCTTTTCATTTGACAAGTAATTACAATTCGGTGTGTTTAATTGTCAGAAAAAGCTGAATGAGCAGAGAGAGCATGCAAAACAAGTTGCAACATTCAATCTGCAGATGAATAAAGAGAGGAAAGAAAAGACTTTATCTCCTCTGTTTCCTGTAAGTAGAGCCTGAATATTGAAATCATTACCCAGAAGATTTTAGCCTTAACAGTTAAAACAGCTGTTCCTGCGGTTTGTGTTCAGACTTCATTCATCTTCTCGGCTCGGTCCCTGACTCCTGCTAAGAGGACTCAGCAGCATCAGTACATGAACGACCTGCAGAGCCAGATAGAGAGCAGACGCCAACATGAGGCCCAAGACCAGCAGAACCGTCTCCTCATGGAGCATCTAGACCAGGTTCAGCTGGTCCAGGAGTGAGTCTGTAACCAGGTCACTGTTCAGGTGTTAAGAAATAAATTATAACAAATTATGTTACATGATCATTTGTATTTTTTTAGGTTAGCTTTGCAGAAGGCCCAGCAACTCCAGCAAAAACACGAGAGAACAACGCATTACAAGAAGGCTCTGGATGCTCAGGCAAGACACTTTTACATTTCATTTTCATCATACAGTACAAACTGGGGGAGGCTGTGGGGCAAGGGAAAGCAGCAGAGTGAGGTTACCTCCCATCCTGCTAGTCAAGGACGCCACACAGGCAGTCAGCCAGAGAAAACTCTATAAACTGTCCTTTTCTTATTTTTCAAGCCACAGCATACTCAATTCAACATCCCCGGGGGGTTCTGCAAGAAATTTAAATCGTTCAGATTGTCTGCAGTCGAGATATGCAATGGATTAAGAAGAGGAATTCTTTTTATTCCTGTCCAGTTTTGCTGGTTGATACTATTAAATAAAAAAAAACTTCAATTTTGAGTATGGACAGTGTTACAGGGTTTCACTGCCTAAACCATGACATACCGCTTTTAGAGCAGTGCTTATATCCAAGGAAACCATTTTCTGAATAATAACAATACTGAAGCATTTTTCCTGAGGTGCAGTGTACACTTCTACTTTAAAGAACCTTCATAATCTTCATTTTATTTAATATTTGGTTGTCAGAACTTCTCAGTTTTGCATGTGAAATCAGTGAAGGGTAGTGAAGCAGCAAATTAGTGCTGACTTTCTTTTTTTTTTACCTGTTGCGTGCTAAAGGTTTTGTTATGGCCCACATCTGGCCCTGGGGATCATTATTATTTATTGCTCACTTTGAAGGCTTTTAAAGCTCTCACTCCTTTATACATTTCCTAATTGCTGACTCAGTATGTGAACTATTCCTCAGAAAGTTCTCTTGATGGAGCAGTGCTGGTTACTCTCAGGTCACAGTTTGTGATAAAGTTTAATCCAGCTGTTGCTTTCAGACCCCCCGCACTCTGAAACACTCTGCATACTGAACTCAGACACACTTGGAACGCTTTTGGAAATGTTTGTCACATGTTTTTATTTATAGTGCCTTTGTATGTGACGTTATCCATGTCAGGGTCTCTCCTTCTTCTGTGCTCTGGTCTCTTGGTCACATTTCTCATTTCATCTGCCTCCTTAGAGTTTAGTTTTTAACTGTGATATACCTGCAACTTTTTTTTGATCAATTACTAGTTTAGGACAGTAAAATAACTACGCTATGGTCTGTGTGATAGACACCTTGTGACAGAAACAACTCTTTTACTGACTGAAGGTGGGAGATAAAAAGAGCACAGACCTTCCACAGTGCCAAACTGACAGCTCGGGATTCCCTCGCTGTGAGACAGCTGCCAGCAACACGGAGAGCCGAGAGAGGGCGCAGAAGGTCAACCCTGTTTGCTTTTCGGTTTTAACCTGTTTAATAGCAGGTCTCACAGAAGTAGAGTAAGAAGTAGCACAGATTTGAGTTTTATTGTTATATAAAATTGGTGTCACTGTGAAGAGCATGCATCATGTTTGTTTGTTGATTCTGTACTTATGGATCTTTACCTACAGCCGGCAAATAGATTAGACAGAGTAAAGGTTAAAAGGTTAAAAACAAGATTTTTTTAAAATTTTGAATCTCTGTCTTTCGAGTTCACAGATTACCACTTTAACCGGTCCACTACACAGTGAAATGAATGTGATGTTGTTCTGTGTACATGCAGCTCTTTCGGGCCAATCTCAGCACTGCTGTGAGGAAGAAAACAGAGGAGCAGCACAGACGCCAAGAACAGCTTGAGAAGGACAAAGAAATGCTCAAACAGAACAAAATGGAGTGAGTCTAGTGTGGGAGTGGAAATTATTTCACAGATAATGACGAATGCTGAAACCCTGCATGTTTTTCTTACTGGTATGTTTCTTGTCCAGGTTAATTCTGAGTCAAATTAATCGTTTTGAGAAGCAGCGAGACATTAGTAAGTCACTGGAGGATGCGTGGACTCGCTGTGTGAAGCTTAAACACGAACGAGAAGAGGAGGAGAGGCGCTTCCTGAGGTCTGTAGACTGATCTTAGTCCTCAGAGCGTTTTTTTCTAAAATCAGATTGTCAGCTAGATAAGTAAAAACCTGCCCTCCCAACATTCATGAACTTTGTCGGAACTCAAACCTTGTTGTATTTCATTCTTACTGACTGAGCAAGAGGACCCATCATGACCTGCATCATTTAAGCTTTATCCTGTCTCCCTGTCATCAGGTCTGCCGGTGAGCTCCTGGTGGATAAACTGTCTCAATACAGGCGCTGTTGCCAGTGTAAGAAGAGGACAACAAACTGTGGAGAGAGCAACATCTGGAAAGATTCTCATTACCCCTCCGGCTCTCAGTTCATGATCTGATGATCAGTGTAGCCTACGACGACATATGAGCATCTATACGACACAGATCTGAACCTCTGAAATTTATCATCAAACACCTGGAAAAGAAGTTGACTTGAATGTGACAGTGTGCAGCATGTTCTAGCTGATTAATCAATATTCCTTCAGCTGATTAGTATTAGTATACGGGTATGATTATGTCTTTTGTGCAGTGTGTTTTTTGGCAATTATTAGTCCCAGGGTGGCATATATGCTAACATGCATCATGCAGTCAATAAAGTGATCATGTTGTCATCTCTGAATTAAAACTACTTGTTCACCAACATAAACAGACACAAAAATAAAGTGAAGATTGAGAGTTATGCTCTGGATCAGGCCTTGAGTTAGTTTACAGCGAGTAATGCCTCTTTTTGTAGACGTAGTCTGTAAATGTTTCTCACATAAATAAGGGATTTCTGAAAGTTTTAAAAAGCTCTGACCATGAAATAATGCTCTTGAACAGAGTTTCATGGTGGGATGAGGAGAAAGAGTGGTATGTGTTGGTCCGTCTTTGTCCCTCTGATGAAGTACTTGAAAAGATGGCTGCCCCACATCTGACCCTGACAGGAGATGAGGGAAGTTGTCCATGCTATAATGTATATAGAGACATACATAACACGGAAAGAGATGAAAAGGAGGAGGGCCCCAACAGGGCCCCAAGTTTGAGGATAGAAGCAATGAAAACGCACATCATTATAAATCGTTGAGAGTTTCTTCATTTATCATCAGAAGTTGAAACACTGAAGCACTGAAGAGGACAGTGAGGGAAAATGAAACAAGATGAGGATGAAAGCAGGTATGTGACTCTGATATGTGAGGATGGGTTCATGTATCGGGGAATTTCTAGAGATGATAAATGTGCTATAGGATCATGACCGTATTCTTCTGGCGGTGGTCCCGGCTCTCTGTGAAGCCAGAACTCCCCTAATGAGCTCATGACGGCTTTCTGAAGAGCTTTGTACTGAAACAGATGCACGATTAACGACCCCACACACCCTGGCTGATTAATTTACTAACGGACAGATAGGCTGTGTGTAAGGACAAAGATGTGTGTGTGCGTGTAACTGTATTTATATGCTGTGTATACTATGCAGTGATACAGAATCATATTTCACGGACACTGAACATCAATTAAGAGATATGTAATCCAGATGATGACGACCCATGAACACACTGTTCCCACAAATACACAGACATTTAGGTTCTCATGTAAGCAGCTTATTTTGATCTATGTGTAAGTCCAATGTGGTGCAGCAACTTCTAAGGGAGTATATACTCAGTGAGTGTAACAGGAGAAATCCATAGACTACTGCATTGATAAGGCATGACATATGAGTGATTTTCATGTTCAGAGTCTCTCATCTTCCTTTATCGGGTTTAGATCAGGATAGTGCTGGCTCATCAAACACAGCAGTATCTTGCTCGGCAAATCGGTGGAAAGACATCTTGTAAAGACAGCTGTGAAGTACTTTTTTTGTGGTATGCAATAGTCTGTAAGATAGCAGTCAGAGAAGGTATGATAAGATAGAAAGGGTAAATAAGGCTTTTTATAGGTTTCATGCCACCTCTGTATGAGTAATGTCACAGTTGGGCCACTGCAGTCCAAAAAGTCTGAACACACCTCTGTAGACACAGATGTGTGGCGTTAAGAGCAATTTTCAGACAATGTATTTTTTTCTTTTTGTAATGAGAACACTTTATCCTGCAAAATGTTTGCAAACCCATAAAAAAAGAAAACTTTTTCTTTATTTTTTGATGATGAACAGACCGGGATTTCCCTCATATCTCCTCTGCTATTATTTTCTGTTGCAATATCACTTTTTCCATAGGGGCGTGCAAATTTTCTCAGCTCATAAAAATGACATGATATATTTGTGTGGAAATCCATTCAAAAGATTATGATCTAGTACAGTGAGTGAGACATCACTATCAAACGCTGACTCATCTTCTCTCCTCTCCCTCAAGCATTTATATGTTTCTGTGGTTAAAACAACACCCATCTCCTGCAAGGTGGGCTCTGTCTGCAAAGTGATTTCTCCCTTTATGATGTGACAAAACTGTAAATTGTGAGTAGAGTTGTGTAGGACTGACCCATGAAGAAGGACAATCTTGTACTGCCATTATGAACATCTATTCATGCTTACATTAGGGCTTATGCTCAAGAGGATGTGTGTTTCTTAATAAAATACAGGCGCACCCAGAGTTATTAGCTCAAATATAGCAAAATCTTATAATGCTCTCAGTAATCTTACTTCTAGCTGGGATTATTTGAAACCGGAATAGTTTCCTGGTCTTGAAAGTTGAGTCAAACACTGAGGATTAAAGACTTTAAAAGGTTTATAGTGACTTATTCATAATAATACTGGTGCATGGACTTGTTTATATGTCCTATTAGGCTCACTGATGTGGTCATATCCATGCTGAGTCACTGAAGCACTTTGTTTGGTTATCATATGGGTGGAGGGCACTGCTTTGTGGGGCATCTTGTACCCCTGGGAGAGGCAGACAGCAGGAGACCAACACCATACTTGATGCTTGTCATGCATATGACTAACAGTCAAAGGAGGGGGTCATATGAGGCCGTGAAGAATTCCTCCACACCACCATGTCAGTGGCCTCATATATTTGCTTGAAATGTGAAATTATTTCCTCTGGAGAAAATCTGTGAAATGTGTAAAGTTAAGAAAACTTGTGAAACATGGTGCACACCCTCATTTTCCCTCAGGGTCTTTTTTTTTCTTTTTGCTAAAACTTTCTTTTGTGTGTGTTCCCGCTTTCCCAAGCCAGTATAACTAATTGGTAATCATACTATTTTTTCAGTATTTCTCATCCAGATGTTCCCACCCGGCTTACACGCCATCCCACAAAGACCTGAGTACAACTACCATACAAAACCCACAATGTGAGACCGAGTTGGCCGTGACATTCAATGACAACCAGCGCATGACCAGCTGTTTACTCTCCAGAAGACACTAATGAGGAGCGACATAGTGTGTCAGAAACTTGTTCTGTATGCAGCATGGCTACAGTTCAAGTGAAATGAGCCAGAACAAATGGTTATTGCATATTCATGGAATTCAAACACCATTATCCTTAAAACTATGTCATGCTCTGGGTCAGGATGGAGAGGAAAATGCAAAGTGAGAAAGTCAAGATGCTTTAAATCCTCACTAGTCATGATTTTAAGGGGAAAAAAAGATGTCTAATGTAAAAGTTCAGGTTGAAAAATCCACCTTTGGCAATTAATCAGTGGTTTCACCAGGCAAAATGCCCTTTAGCCCATTGTTTTCTATTATGACCTTACAACAACCTTACTGGCTAGCCTCAAAGTTCTGATTTTGGTGACAATAAAGGGTCTGTTTTAAAAAAAAGAAGAAAAAAAAGGTACTGATGAACATAGGTGAAATGACAGAAGATTTATCCAGATATGAGGCAAATTGAAGAAAATTTAGTCGCTCTTAACGGCTTTGTATTGGATATCAGAGGGTTTACACTACAACCCCACAAGAATCAGTAGGCTAAAAATAAGAAGCCTTTTTAAAGCTCCTGTGAGGAACTTAGTCTTCGCACCCTATACGGACAAAATGAGACTTTGTTTTTCCTGTGCCCTTAATTCTTGGCAGAAAATCTTTCCCTGCTGATTTTAGATGGTTAAGTGTTTCTTCAGCTTCAATCCTGACTACCACCCCTTCGCAGCAGTTTCAATCTGAATTTCAGTTTATTTCATATATGTCTAAAAACACAGGAGCTTTAAATCTCAATCAGTGTGAACATATGAAATCACGTATGTTAAAAACAGACTTCATGACGTATAAAACCAACAAAGTCTCTGCTATTTGTTGTCGTGACTTACAATCCCAAACCCTTACCGCTCAGCTCCAATCAATTGTAATGCGTAATTCTATTTAATGCAAACTGTGTTTTCTGCCTTTCCATAAGACAAAGCAAGCACAGAAATATAAGGGCCTGTGTCCACTAGTGCAGAGTTTTGGGCTAAACTTTAATTTTAGAGATTTAGAAAGTCAGAGAAGCACAGATTTGCTAACTTAACTTGTGAAATGAGATAACATAAAGTCAAGAGCCAAAAATCTGGTATTATACAGAGACAAGATTTCTGCATCAATAAGAATTCCCCCTCAATGCTGTTTCACAATAGAGAGCAACAACTCACGTTTTCAACATCATCAAACCACATCTTCAGTTTCCTCAGAAGGTGCAGGATTTTCCCTGCTGACATGAGTTTTTAAAAACTGAATGCAAAACTGAAACTTGTGGTTCAGCAGTCTCTTTTTTTTCTTCTTTTTTTGGACTGACACAAAACTGGATTAAAAAAAATCAATAAGTATGGGTGATGATTAGGGAAAAAATGGCATGAAACTCCAAAAAGTGAGATCTGTTCTTGATAAGTCATTTCGAGCAGAAACAAGCCGGAGCTCAGAAACAACCACGCCTGTTCTCTAATCCAGAACAACATGTCATTTGAACACACGTATGTACGTCTCACACACTGAGTTCACACACAACTAAAGGGCACCTCGTGTCATAGACTCAGCACGTCATCAAATGCCATTTCCTCACACAAATATACGTCCACTGTTCTGCTGAGTCTCCTCCTTTCCTGTTCCTCTTCCGATCATAAGGTACATCCTAATAGTTCATGTATGAATCATTTCAACACGTTTACATGGAACCACACTCAGGCCTGACTCCTCATCTCCTCCCCTTGGTTTTTCTGTGATTAGCCATGAGATCAGTTTTTTCTCTTCTTTCCTTCTTGCCTCTCTTCCTCCTTTGTATCTTCTTCAGCTGAAACTTGCACTTGGAGTTCTTTTTAAAAGATTTTCTGCCCTCTTCCCATACTTCTCCACATATTTATCTCATTTTACTTTCATGTATCCCCCAGTATTCCCTTATCCCCAGAGAATTAAACAAAGTTCCTGTCCACCTTAACACACATGTCTCTGGTTAGGAGTATAAAGACACAGCAGCTGCAGGACGCCCATCTTGGCAGGGACAGCCAGTGGTTGGTGTGGATATGCCAAAGTGTGTGCATGTGTTGTGGTTTGTCTTACTATGCCACTAAACTGAACAACCTAAGATTTTTTTAAGCCAACAGTCACTCCACACATTTAACTGTTCAGTCAATTTACACTCAGCTTAATGACTTCCATATCAAGTTGGAGAAAATGATATTAGCTGAGAGACTGAGCTGCTGGAGTAGCTTCTTGTGTTGCACTTTCATACACTAGATGGAGCAGGTTGA